AAAAGTTGTAAAACAACCATAACTATTATGCATAAATAAGGCACATAAATAAATCGCATTTCAGTTTCCTTATTTGTACTTCAAGGAATGAGAGGAGGCAGCAAAATTTTCCCATAAGGTCAGCAATCTAACTTCCTGATTTATATATTTGATCACAATACCATAATCTGCATTTTTTAATCCACAATTCACACAATAGAACACGTAACAGTAAGTATGTAGATTATATATTAATCATCTTAAACACAGCACCATATACAAAAGGGAAGGAAAAAAGATAATTCTGTTTGCAAGGGTATCTGACACTCAATCACCACAACATCACAGAGTGGCAACAAAAAACATTGAGCCTCAGAAATGGGTTTCTCTGCAACTGCACCAGTATGGAGTTTGGTACAGCAGACCACTTTTTCAGGCAAACAAAGTAATCTACCTTATACAAGAAGGTACATTTACAATATTTAATACATTTCCACATTTGACAAAAATACTTGCCTCAAAGTCAGTCTTCCAAAAAGTGCTCAAAACATAAGCTCATGCTTTACTGCCTCTTTAAAACCATTTTGAAGCAGCCCTTCTGCCCTGTTAATGCAGGAAAGCAGGCATAGGGAGATTACACCAAAATTTTTTCCAGCTCTACCTCTGATACTGCTAAAGTTTATTACCTTAGCCCATATCAGGCCATCAATGATTCACATATTTCTTCACTTCCTGGAGAGAACTGTCTACCTGTCCATATCCATGGCCTCAAGGAATTACCAGAACTCCACTGTCAAGGAGAAGCTATGACTGGAATTTCAAGCCAAAGATCCACTCCTGCCATGTTTTGTATATTCCAAACCAACACTCAAACCATTTACCTTGAACTAGCAGTGAACTACTATTTGCTTAATTAATAGTTATTCCAATAAATCATAAATGAAAAATAAATACTGAAGATAACTCTTCTAGAAATGTGGCACACTGCATCAAGATGAATTGCTTATCTCAATATATCAAAATAGTACCACTAAAAGATCCAAAAGAAATCTATCCAGTAGATTTGATGCAAAACACTTTCTAAAATACTACCTGACCCTTCAATTTTTCTCCATAAATGTAAGCTTATCAGAGGCCAAATCAGAGAACTCATCTCCTGTCAAGAAGCTGCTGTCTCCCATTTCTCAGGCAGAAGTGCCAGACTGTTCACTCACGTCGCTCCGCACCCTCCCTCACCTGTATGACTTATACCCAAAACCCTGGCACACTTCCATCTCTCAGAACTCCACCTGCCTGGATTTATTGAAGCTACTTACATCTCAGATCCCATACAGTAGGCACAAGGCAGGCATTTAAGGAGAACAGCAGGGAAATTAAGCCACTACAAGACCTTCTGATGTTCAGTTTCACCTGAAACTCACCAGCTGTAGCCACCCTAGTGACCTCAACACCAGCAATGTCTGTTCACTGGCACAGAGATCATGACCAATTAGTGCAAACCTGGCCATGTTCATAGCAGCATCCAAAATGGGGTGGCTGCATTTCAGCTCTCTTTTCAGAACAGTCCTTGGTCTGTGCCAGCTTCAGTGAACGTAGACCAAAAGCGCTACAGAAACCATTCTAATAATTTAACAGTATAGGTAACCAATCTCCCAGGGGCTCAGAAACCTTCCCAATCTATATGGAAATACTGCCAACATCGTTTTGATTCTCAGCACACACAGCTCACTTAATGGGCTCCTACACACCATTTGGGTATTCACTTCACCATTGCAAAAATAAAAAGTGAAACTATTACATATTTTCAAAATTCACTTCTAATAAACAAAAAAAAAGCTCTGAAATATAACACACAATAATTATAACTTAATGTTACCACCTGATATCATCACAGGCTTTGAACCATCTGGACACACTTACTGTTAGTTTTATAGTTTACACACAAAAAAACCTACGAGTTCCTTCAGTTTCTAATATTGTTCAGGGAATAACTGCAAGTTTTATGATGATCCATAGGTACTCTCAGTGAATCCACCTTAGAGTAGCTGGTCCCTGACAAATACACACAGCTCCATAGGAGCAGTCTTGGATGCATGTAAAAACAGCCGTCCTCTGCCAGTCAAAATAGCATGGGAATAAAGGCTGTTGAAGAAATTAAGAACAAGTACCAAACCTTCTGACGCTCCTGAATCTATTCTATTTAAAGGCTGACTGATAAGTAGATTCTATAGGAGAAGAGAAATTCAGGGAGAGTCCCCGCTCAGCCCAGGGAACGGGAATGTACCGGAAGAGAAACAGCGCCATCTACTGACGGCAGCGGGGTACTCCAACAGGACGGCTCCCCGTGGATTTGGGACAGCTTCTCCGTCCAAATCACAATCTAAAAGTACAGAAAATGTCCCACGAACCAGGCTGTTGCACAGAAATATGGAATTAAAAAAGTTTTTTTATAGTACCATTCATTTGACAAACTTTTAAGTTTGAGTATCGTAAGAGCTGTAAACAATGACCAGGAGTTACCCAGTCTCTACTTCCTTGGAGGCTTTACCCTCCACCATCCATGCCCAACCCAGCTGCCTGATATTAAGTATTTCCAATGAAGTATATTTGTATCCCCTTGCTACACAACCCATTCCTGTATGTATCTCTGCTTCCATAAAATTTTGCTAGCACTCAAACCAAACACTCTCATGACATTTAAAGGTCTGTATTTTTAATCCTGCTAAAACTGCACTCCCATTCCTTTTCAAGAGTCTTGTACACAGCTGACTCCAACTTCTTCCCAGCCTTATCTACCTAAAATGACGATTTGTCAGTCATTCCCCATTATCACAACTGACAGACTATCATTATTTGTTCTTCTTGAAAATCCAGTCTGTCCATGTCATTATCTAAAAAAGAGCCACAAAAATGGATACAATAGTTTGGCTTGGTCTTTCTGATAAAAGACAGACAATTGGTTCATTTATCCTGTGTGCAATAACTGGTTATGAAGCTCATAAAGCCCAGCTAAGGTTCATATCCAGAAAACCTACTATTGTTTCCTAGACTGTACAACTTATTTTCCAATGAAAAAGAAGTATCAGACTCTTCTGTTCTTGAAAAGTTAGTATTTACTTATCTCCCTATCTTTGCATCTTTAAATAGACAAAGCAACTTTTTTTGGACAACTCCCTCAGCCAAAAATATTTCTATCATCTTGGCTCCCTAAAGGCACCCAAGATGAACTTTGATGAATCTTTTAGGATAAAATGTTTGCTGCCATGATCATTGGAAAAATAAAAATTAAAAAAAAAAAAAAAAAAAAAAAGCAAAAGGAGCCTTATCAAATAAAACCAATGCTCAGTCAAGCAGTCAAGAGCAATCTAGCAATCTCTCTTTTTCAAGTTTCATCAAAACTTGCAGGCTTCCAGAAAGATGGACTGTCAGGGATTATCAATATAAAAGAAACACACTACTTTAAGTACATCAGTACATTTTTCTTTCAATTAGTGATTTCAGATAGACTTCTTGATCTTGGTTGATTATCTACAGTCTTTGAATCCAAAGTTTCAAAATTAAAATCAAAATACTTCCTTTGCACTTCTGAAAACAAAGAATTTACTCCTCCTCTGCTCTCAGAATGTAACCTACTTCTGGTAAGAACACTGCCTTCCATCTGCCACTTGCATTTTCTGCCAAAAGGATCAAATGCCCACTACCCACCTGCACCATTACTGTAATTTTTAGAAAACAGGCACCCCATTACTACAAAAAACTCCCACAATGAAAATCCACTAGGATCTAACAACAAATTAAGCACCTGAGTGCTTATTACTGGCTTCAGTTCTTACAATGACTGTGTTTGAAATGGTTACACTTTGCCACTGAGCTTCCAGTGTATGGCAGACAATTTTTCATTTTTAAAAATAAAATCTGATGCCCAGCTTCCCAAAACTAGACAGAATTTCACTTTTACAGCAGTAATGCATTACAAATATAGGATATAAATTTCACCACTACTGCTTCCTGTGTTAGTCACCTTATCCACGTGTTACATAGCTAATACAAACAGGTCTGTATTTGACAGTACATTGTGTTGTGTCATATTTTAATTAAAAATGTTTCAGATCCAAAAAGCATCAAGAATCATTTTAAGCATAATTCATATAAGCTTAATTCCTGCTTGCTTATCCAAGGTTCCACAATGTTGAAAAAATGTATTTTTCCCAGAAGCAGCAAAGCAAAACACCTTTGTGAAATCTCAGCAAGCCCTGCACTCACTTCAGTGGAACAGCAGCTTTGCTTCCTGACTTCACAGGCAAACCTACCCTCTTTCAAGCCAGGACAAAAAAAACAAGAGCATTAATAATTTCAAACAAGGCACTTGCCTAGCAACTATAAATTGGCTATTTAGGTGTGGTAACTGGAGAAAAAGTGAGCTGAAAGAGAGCAGAACATGAGAAAAACTGATTGGTTGTTTTTCACTATCAGCTGTGTCAAGTTGAAGCATTCACAAGGGAAAGCTGCAATTAGTGGCAGAACAAAGACCACTGGTGATGATGTTCTGGGTAGAAGATGCTCAATACCGTGCAGCCTTACAGATTTTGTAAGAGAGAGGCTAAAGTTGCTTTGCATCCTTACTGAAAGGACCTAGGTATTAAAAGCACTAATTTTTGTATTTCAAGATGAAAATTTTTGGCAGACTTCATGAATATATAAAAAGACAGTAAAATAATATGTATAGATGAATATGGCACTTAAAAACATGGTTTAGTGGTGGAACTGGCAGTGCTGGATTAACAGTTGGACTTGGTCTTAATGGTCTTTTCCAACCTAAACAGCAGAACGATTTTCTCAACAAGTATTGTAGAAAATCGGGCAGTGTAAAGACAGAGTGAGAGCAACAGGCCAACCACACCATCAGTCCCTGCACATAACACTGATTTCCTGTGTGCAAACTGATCACCAGGTTCAAGCTCATGACTAACTCTTCCCACCCGGGGCCGGTTTTGGCTAGAGCTGAGCACGGCGCGCGGTACCTCATGTGCAGGATGCCGATGAGGGTGGCGGCGAGGTCGGAGGACATCCTGCCCATGATGCAGCAGCGGCTGAGGCAGGCGAGCAGGCTGGCGGGCAGGCAGGGAAGGAAGTACACCAGCTGCACCAGGCGCCGCTGCGCCTCGGCCGGCAGCAGCACCAGCGTGCCCTCGAGCGGATCTGCGGCACACAGCGCACGGTCAGCACCGGCTGCACCCACCAGCCACCCCAGCTACCCACTGACGTGAGGATGTTATAACCATATAACCATTATAACCAGGGGAAAAATGGGAAAAAAATAAGGAAATACTAGCCTAGAAAATAGGAGGCTTGGAGAAGAATATATTGCTCTCTACAACTAACTTATTAGTGGTTGCTGCCAGGTGAAGGTAAGTCAGCCTCTTCTTCCAGGTAACAAGTGACAGGATGAGAGGAAATTGCCTTAAGTTTTACCAGGGGAGGTTTGGATTGGATAGTAGGAAAAATTTCTTCACTGAAAGGGTAGTCAGGCATTGGATCAAGCTCTCCAGTGAAGTGTCCAAAAAATGTGGCATCTGGGGACATGCTTTAGTGGTGGACTTGGCAGTGCTGGGTTACCACTTGGATCTTAAAGGTATTTTTCAACCCAAATGATTCCATGAGTCTCACTCTAAAATTTCCAGTCTATCATAACTACTGACTTGAAGAAAAGTTCTTAATCTTTTTACTCTCTAGTAAATGGCACACATAGTTCATTTTAACCTTTAGGGAACTGAACCAATCTACAACCCTACCCCCCACCCAGTCTTCAGGCTCATCTAGGAAACAACAGGATTTTCCCCCTACTGCAAGCTGCCTACCAGGTGAGGGACAAACTTCCTCATGCTATAATGTCAAAGTCTTACCGTATATTCGAGCAGCAGTGGCTTGTAAACTTTGCAACAATTCCTTGTTTGAACGAGAAGCAGCGGAATGAATGATATCAATGAGTTGATTGGAAAGCTCAGGATTCCTCAAGCCAAGCAGAGCCAGTTGCTGAGGTAAGCCAGCCAACCAACGAGATAAAACTTTACTTCGACTCCTAAAGAAAGAGGGAAGAATCAGTAGCAGAAAAAAAGATAAAACAACAGAAACCCACACAAACTTCTCTTCCCATTCTTGACTAAATTGCTTTTCTTTCTCCTTTCTAGCTCAAACTGAAACAACAGTATGGACTAATCTATCTTTCATAGGCTACAATTTCTATGTCACCCTGGCTTATCAAATCAAGTATCATTTAGAAACCAAAAGCATTTCATCAGCTTTTAACTAAAGTGATGATCACAAGAAAAAAAGCTGCCAAGTGCAAATTAAGAAGTTCAAAGTAGGTCTTTGAAGATGTCAACAAGAGTAGCATGATGATGATACAGATTATTTCACTCTCAAAGACCCATCAACGAAAAAATTTTCAAGGAAATTAAGTATCCATGACACAAGAGAGAAGGGTCTTGCATAGAGATGAACTGCTCAACAGCAGAAAAAGCCTGGAGAACAGACCATTGAAGTGGGTGAGTTGGAGGTGAGGTCAGAGGTCTCAAATCACTTGACATGGAAATAGTGGATGGAAATAAAACATTTGCTTCATCTTTCACAGAAAGAAGCAGATGCTAGTATCAAATGAAGCTAGAAGGAGCCAGGATTAAACAAGCAAAAATAAGTTGGGTCTTGACAGAGCTGAGCTTTGTCACTCCTTGCCAGAGGATGCTGCAGTTGCTCTTGATTTAGACTGGTCCAAGGAATGATGAGAAAAGCTCACGATACAGACACCCACTGACTCTTATCAGTATATAAATGCATATGTGCACACACACACACACACACACAGACACACACTACATATGCCTATATACACACAGTGCACGGTATGTGTGCAGTGATTAGGGGTGAAGATAAACTAAAACATAAAAAAAAACGTAATTCTGAACCATGTAATAAATCTGTCAATTTGGTTTTTTTCCACAAGGCAGCAACAGGCCAAACACTCCTACTTTATCCTTTGAATCAGACACACCTAAAAAATAAACACATTCACAAAAAATTCTGAAAAATGCTCCAATGTGAATTCTGTTCCTTGTAGACTGTTCTTGACTAGCTTCTGAGAAAAAAAAATAAATTAAAAGAATGAGGAGAACAGTCAGAGGAGGGAACTACAGAGGAGGGAAGGAGCTACGTACATCAAACTGAATGGAACAATATGAATGTCCAGGAGCTACTAAACAGCCCGCATTTTGAAGAAATTAAAAAAATTCACTTGTTCCTAAAGGAAAGAAATGGAATAGGGTAGTACACAAATATTATGTTGTCTTCCAATATCTTGTCAGACCTAAGTGCAGTTATACTTTTTTGCAAAGAAGTTTTGAGATTTTGTTCATCTGTTACTAAAAAATATCACAAATCCATGTAGAAGACTAAGAGGAACAGCAGCAAAACTACTGCTACTTGTGATGTCTAAAGATAGAAAGGTAAAGCCTTCCAGATGGTCATATGATCACATGAAACTGAATGAGATGCTCAAGACTTTCAGGTAAGTACAGAGAACAGTGGTTATGTAACCTCAGGGAAATTAATTAGTATGAAGATCTCTTTTTCACTCTGTGTGAAAAGAGGAGAAAAATGGGTTATTCCCAAGTGTTTTTCCCTGTCTTTCATATTCCCTACACTTTTTATAATGTTCAGAGCATAGCACTAGATTATTTCTGGCTGTAGATATAATTACATGTACTCAGGCATTACTACAACAGATGATGTAACAAAGCAAAGAAGTTGTAGAAAGGAACAATTTTCCCAAAACTTGACTGTGTTAGCAGATGCCACAACTTCTGAGAGACCTGAGGGTTGATTTTTTCAGTGGCAGAAACAGATCACATTCCCCAGAAAGTCAACAGTGTCCAGGGCTATATCAAAAGCAGTGTGGGCAGAAGGTCAAGGGAGGGGATTCTGTTCCTCTAGTCTGCTCTGGTGAGATGGCACCTGGAGTCCTGCATCCAACTCTGGGTCCCCAGAAATAAGAAGGACATGGAGCTATTAGAGCAAGTTCAAGGAGGCCATGAAGATCATGAGAGGTCTACAGCACCTGTCTTATGAAGACAGGCTGAGAGCGCTGTTGTTGCTCAGCCTGGAGAAGAGAAGGTCTTCCCAGAGCCTTAGAGATGCTTTACAGTACCTGAAGGGGAGCTGCAATTCCCAAATGAGCCAGGAATGACACATACACATCAACACATGTTTAAGGTTTTTATGTCCTGGAACTTTTTATGTCCAAGATGACTTGGCTGAAAAATACATTCTAGGAAAGATTTGGAGACAATCTGGACACACTGATTAATGAAAAACTGTTGCAACAGCATTACATAGAGAGAATAATCTCCTCTTACTGACTACATCTGAAGCAAGTCAGGTATCTAAAAGCTGCCCATGATCTAATAGATCCCACGATGAATCAGGAGCCCAGAAGAATAAGAACACTTTCTTAAACTTAGTCTCTCTGGAACCACACCCCCAAAACAACAGAGTATTTTTCTTAAGAAACTAAGTCAGAAAGGCTACACAGCCACTATCAGAACACCAACAGAGGCACTAAGTGACAAGCTCATGACCTCAGGCTGAAGTGATGGAAATGCTCCATGTCTACAAGCTGCATGATCTTGACATGTGCACTGACTGCCACACAGTCAGTAACAATAAGCTTGTAGCAGCGTACTTCAAGCTAAAATTTAAGTCATTAACATCTATCTAGTACTTATGCTAAGATAGACACTGAGCTGTTAAATCTCCATTTCACAGAGCACACAAACTTTCAAATTCCAGTGACACAGCATCAAAACAGATTCAGAATGAAGTTTTATGACATCTACACATAAATTCAGCACTCTCATTCCCAAAATAAATAGACTATTTTGAAATGAAAAACAATATGCTTTTTTTTTTTCCTTACCTGATTCTTTGTGTCCTCAAATCTTCTTTTTGGTAAACTCTGCTAAAAAATTTCAAAAGCAATGTACGAACTGGAAAGAGCAGATTCCTTTGCTGGTACAGTGTATATACTGCTTTTATCAAGGGTTCCGTTGCTACTGGGAAAAAAAATTGGAAGTAATACTTTTTAATCTTCTGATTTTATACATGCACACACACAGAGAGCTGTGATCTTTATCTACAACTATTTACACTGTAGTCCAGAGGGAAGTACCAAAATGTTTTGAAGTAACTTCTGGACTGACTTCTAAACCATTCAAACAACACTTCTTGTGCAGCTTATGAAAGAAACAAAAAGAAACACAAAAGAATAGAGACAACATGCAAGTGAAAACTTCTGAACCTCCTGAAGACAGGTTGCAAGGTAGCTGAAAAGCAATTAATTCCTGCTTTTCACAGCTATCTTCCAATCCTTTTCCTCTAGTGCAGTAACTTCAGACTAATGTTCTCTTCTACTTCTGCTCCCCAAAACCTCACTGTCACAGTGCCTTCAGTTCTCTCTGCACTATCCCTTTCTCCCTGCCACACTCACCAGCTCTCCCTGTCTCTGAACCAGCTGGCTCCAAGTTACACGTGCTAATTAACCAGAAAATAAATACCTCAAGAGGCTGCTGGCAAGACATTGCAAGAACTGCTAACTACCCTGCAACCTTTCCTGCCCTGAAGCTCTCATCAACCATGTGCTATCACCAGACTTAACACAACATTTGAAAGCTTTACCACTGTAACCTAATTGGATAAAATTAGCCAGCAAACACAGAACTTACTGTAATAGACTGAAAAAGAGACCAAACATTTTCTTTGGAAACTAGACTAAATCACTGGATGAAAAAATTAACAAAGCATGGAAATATACCTGAATTCAGAGAAGACAAGCCTGGAAAGAATAGGAAAGCACCTGAAAACTTAAGGAATACATGAAAGGTATGAGACCTGAACTCAGTTTGTCACAGAAGAGCTTGTGGTCCCAAGGAATTCAATCCAATTAAGGCATACTTAAGTAGCAGCAATCACTTCATTATCTTCCTAAACCAAAGCTGAGAAACATCTGTCTTTTCATCCAGGTACACAAATCAGTCTCAGTAAGTTATGTGTGCAAAACCAGATAAAATACTGTGTTCCACACTGAACAGAGCAACTTCTGCCCACAGAGATAGACAAGAATGCTCCTTCCTAAAAATGATTCTGGATCCAGTCAGGGGCCAGTCTTGGTCTGTAAAACTCTTACTCAACTTCAAGTTACCATACAAGGATTCTACTACAAAAATCACCCGAAATGGCATGGTCACGTGCCAGCATGAAGCAGGAGCCATTTACAAGTTAAAATCTAACATATTTTTCAACAGAAAAATAAAATCCATTTTAATGTTTCATGTAACTAAGATATTTATTATTAAATTATTTTCAATGCATCAGAAGTATCAGCTTACTCAATTCACATATTCTTCAGGTGAAGATTCACCTCGAACAGCATTTTTTTAACAGAATTAAACTAACAATTACAACTTTATGTAGTTTATAGCTAATTGATAAACTGTTAACAGAAAAAAATATAAAAATAAATAAGTATTCTAAGTGAGTAGAATTTTCACTTCCCTAAAACTTTGTGGCATTTTAAGTAAAAGAGGTCTTACTTATTTGAATTGCTTCATGTGAACTGGAGAAGTTTAAAAATAGAAGCTAAAAGGAACTCTCAAAAAGTAATACTTTAAAAGGCCCACATCATACAGATGTCCAAAACACAGCTGAAGAACTCATGAGGTTTTAAAATAGTTCTGTTTTAACTGGCACATGTCAAGCTTCCTTCTGAAGTGACTGAGTGTGCTCCCTTTCGTTGCATGAGGAAAATTTATCAAAAACACAACTAGCAGGCAAGCTGCTGTTGAAGTCATACCTGAGAAATGCAAAAAAGGAGCAGACCTCCTAACTACAGAGAGGTCCCAAGTTTGATCTTAAGCGATGGAGATAAATCTTCAGACAACACAGCTACAAGCTCTTCTACACATTCATAGAAAAAAAAGGGGATATTTGCATTTCACCCTAGCATAAACCTCTACTCAAAACAGGCAATCCAGAAAAATGGAACCATGCTTGTGCAGGATAATGCACAGGACGTTCCCTATGGTTTTATTTAATCTCTTTTTCATTAGCTCTTTTGGTTTTTCTATGTAAACTTCCCCTCTTTTGATTTCCATTGTGATCTTAACTTTTTTTTTTTACTGTAATGGCTCATTTTTCACTTTGCATTGTCTTCTAAATAACACATACCCTTTCCAGGCTTTAATCTCCATGTCAAATTGTTTTCAACAAATCAAGAGTTAATTTTTTTTAATATGTACCATCTTTTGCAGTCCTATCTGACACAACACAGTTCAAAATTTCTAGAGCATTATCAAAAAACCAATCAAGGACAGAATGTTTTTCTTCCACAGAATCACATAAGGATAAGAGTGGGAATGTATGACTGAGCTAATTTGACACAGGGTCAGCTAGATCTGGCTGCTCACAACTATGTCCAGATGGCTTCTGAGTATATCCAAGAATGGAGATTCCGCTATCACTATGGGCAACCTGTGCCTTGGTCATCTTTACAGTGAAAAGGGTCCTCCCCATGCTCAGAGAGCATCTCTTGTGCTTCAGTTTGTGCCTGCTGCTTGTCCTGTCACTGGACACCACTGAAAAGAGCCTGGCTCCCTCTTCTTTGCTCCCCTCCTTCAACTATTTGCATACACTGATGAGATGCTCCCCAAATCTTCTCATCTCCAGTTGACTCAGCCTTTCCTCACAGGTGAGGTGCTCCAGGGTCTTCACCACCTTCACAGCCTTTGCTGGACTCTCACCTGTATGTCCATGCCACTCTTTTACTGGGGAGCCCCAAACTGGACACATTGCTCCAGGAGTGGCCACACCAGTGCAGAGTAGAGGGGCAGGATTACCTCCCTCAACCTCCTGTCAACACTCCTAATGCAGCCCAGGACCCCACTGGGCTTCTTTGTCACAAGGGCCCATTGCTGGCTCCACATGGACCCCTGGTCCTTTACTGCGAAGCTGCCTCCACCTGGCTGTCCCCCAGCACGTACAGGTGCATGGGATTGTTCCTCTCCAGGTGCAGGGCTTTGCACTTCTCCTTGTTGAACCATCTTCCTGTTGCTCCAGTATGTCAAGGCTGTATCTCCTCTACAGCTGGTAGATTGGTAGATTAATTACAATCTGACACCTAGTCAGGTTTTTAGTACTGCACAAGGATTATCTTGAAGGGGTGAGATAAACCATCCACATGAACAGACACAGCTTTGTGAGGTAACTAATTTCACACCACACATAAACCATTCACACAAAGAGACACAGCTTTGTGAGGTAACTAATTTCACGCTAAACTTCTACAGGATCAGCAGAAAATTATTAAATTATCCACCGTTTGGTGGAAGTTTGGCAAAGTTAAAAAAAAAATCAGTATTTCATTACAAAGAAAGGCCTGAAATATCTAACAGTCTAACAACTTCTTGGAAGTTACTTTCCTGAGTAGCAACTCCTCTGCTTTAGCTCAGGTGGTGCAACAGGCTCTGACTTTGGATTGTTATTTTCCTTTAACGTAAAGCTAAATTTGAAGTGCAGATAGGAATGAGTAGTTATTACCTTTGTCATCAGGGTACATGGGAATAGACAGATTCCCAATTAAAATGGATTTGGCAGGAAATATAACTAACTGCCAAAATGTATTTGAGGGACATTTGACATATTTTCATTTTACAATTCTAACAATTGTATCTGTTGCTAAGGGCTTTTCTTTAAACTACTTGGATGTGGAATTCATTCCTATCACACTGGTAAAACATAAAAGACTGCTGTCACTTTTCTGGTTACTGATAAAGTCCTTTCTTGAAGTTCTATATACCCAAGGTCTCATTTGGAATACAACCAAGTAGCACTTGAAATGAAAGAAAAAAAGCAAGCTAAAATATTAGACTGGTCCTGCAAGACATAACTGGAAATGTTTTCTCTTGGAAAAGAATTCAAATCAAACACCTTGGAAAATACTCAACAGCAGCTTCCATCAAAAGTATCTTGACATTTCACATCACCACAGAACTAAAACAGTCATCTGACAGCACTTGAGAAAGTCTATCAGCTATGTTAATGACTTTAAATAAGGACTGGTATATTAAAATATCATGCCGCTCTACAGCCTAGTAGTTACTTTTTCAATATAAAGCTAATTTTCCATTTATAAGAGTATCTTAAGAAGAAAAACCAGAAAACAGATACAAATATATTTGTACCTTGGATATCAACAGAATGAATCTAAAAGCATTCCAAAAATAAAGTCTCCAATGCTACATGCAAGGGTATTACCATAAAATTCATTTTACTTCTATGACAAAATGCATTTTGGTGTAGCAACTGAGAATGTAAAGTGCAGCATTAAAATGCTAAAACAACTCAAAGCTTTGTCAGTGCATAATTTTGCTTTCCAGAAACTACTCATCTTACCCTTGTTTTGCTGTATTTGCATTAGTCTCCAAGTCACCCCAAGCAATCTGTTCACTTGCTTGCTATTCAGCTTGCTGCCATCCTGAAGAGTGTCTGTCACAAATTTCCTTATCATGTCCAGCCAGCCAGAGTCCGTCTGAAGTGTTGAAGCGCTTGCTAATGAAACCATTATGTCACACAAGGTTAAATTCAGTAAAAGATGGTCGATGTTGTTTGAGGATTTCATACAGTTCCTGTTGCTAAGGGGAGGAGGGGGAGACAACAGAAAGATTTCAAAAAATTATTTTTGAAATAAAAATGGACACCAGCTGATACCCCTTGTAAATACACCCGTGTTCTACATAGAGTGCAAAGGTGCAGACTGATTTCAGAACAACTTTAGCATGAATTTAGTCTCACATCTGGGAGCTGCGAATGGAGACAACTTACTACTAAAATATTGTGTTCCACACTAAACAGAGCAACTTCTGTCCACAGAGACAAACAAGAATGCTCCTTTCTAAAAATGATTCTGGATCCAGTTGCTACTGGCCTGTAGCAAAACAGAATTGGTGCATCTGTTCTGACACATCAAAAGTGAAGAAATGTGTGTTTGGCTTCTGCTCCACTACTGCTTTGCCCTACAAGACAGCCACAGTGTGCCCATCTCCCCTCCAAGTTGTCCTTACCCAGCCCCATAATACAACTAGAGAAGACTATATGGAGGTGAAAAGAATGTTTGAACTATGTTTAATGTAACTCAGCAGTCAGCTGAAGAAAACATGCAGAAATATGAAACCAGTCAGCCTAAAACAATCATCATTTAGCAATATGCAAATATCAGATCAAGAGTTGAATAAAATGCTTTTATTTCCCTAAGGCAGCACTTAATTTTCTACTGGATGCTATTCAGACAACTTCCTATACAATACTTTTACAAAGAACAACTAAAATGTCTCAATTTGAAGCAGTGCACCCCTCCTATAACTGCATCTCCACAGATCTTCAAGAAATACATAATATAAGTTTTATTTTCCACCATTAAAAACTAAATATTTGATAAAGCATGTGTGTCACATTGTCCCACTTCTCTTATGAAATTAAAGCTGGTACATGACATTGATTTTACTCTTACCTTTTGCATGGATCTTTCTTTTTGTGCTTTACTGTATCTTGTAAAGAATAAGGAAAATGACGCATGAAGTGGTGCTTGAAATCTACAAGGTAATTCATTCGGAGCCACAGTTCCTGTTAAGGAAAGCAGATGACAGACAGAAAACATAGCAGCAAATTAAATAAATCCAGACAATCATGTCCCAAACTTCATTATTGGTATCAATGAAACTAGGAACTTTAGCTTCTGATTCCAAGTTGCTTATACATCTTTACTTTCAAGTGCTGTGCATGAAGGTCCACAAAACAAGGGAGTATAACAAGATGCTGTAAGTTAAGGTTGAACAACAACATGTTGCTAACTGAACCACTTTATTTTTTTAGCACATATTTACGTGAATATATGCAATACTAACCTGAGTTATAGATCTGAATGAAGCACTTCTATACCAATTTATCAGGGTTCTTAAAATCAGAGTGGACTCAAAACATATTCCGATACCTCTTTGCAGGTTAGCAGACAGTCACCATTCCACAAAGCGTCCAGCAGAACTCATCACTAAAAAAGCCTGCATTGCTATCAAATTGATCAGGCAGAATAATCTTTTCGATATTTGACTATTAAGAGCAGAGAATGGCCATTAAACTATTTCAAAGATCAATAGCTTTCCACCAAGCATATACAGAGTGGTTATCCACAATGACTGTAATAGCCACTTTGGCCTGTAAGCCCAAGGGCTATTAAATAAGCAAAGCTTTCATTTTCAAACTGAGCCATTTGAATGCATTTTGTATATAATGGTAACTATAAAGACAAAACAAACCATTAATCTAAAATGAAATTTGCTCCACAAAAAAACAAGTTGTATGAACCTCAGATTTTTTTCTCCCCACAAACAACTTAAGGTCATAATCCAACTCTGTGTACCCAAACCACTTTATATCTTGACAGAGGAGTGTGCCATTCACGGGCACCCTATGGCTAAGGGCAGCAGTTCTCCAGGATCCTTCAGAAAAAGGCTAGGGACAGGAGGCTGCCACAGGAATTTACCAGGTCAAGTGCCTGCTTTTTGCCCACTTCCAAGAGGGCCTCTAGAAAAGATGAAGAAGAAAAAAGAGGAACAGTGTGCTTTGCTCAGATACACTGAATCCATCTCTCAAAGCTGGGTATGTTTGGTAACTTTGATCTAATGTAACAATTCCACAAATGTTTTCCAGTAATTACCCTATGCGTAGCTTTTTTTCCCTTTAGCAAAGGGACCTACAGTCCTATACACAGGTTAAACCAAGAGCTGTCAAGACATTTCCTCCACCTACTCAACAGCCAAATTTTCCAGTTTGTAAATTTTTTGTAAAAGCAGCAAAAGTTACGAAAAAAAAGCAATTCAGTTATCTAAGTAAAATACAGAGAGAATAAAAAAAACTTCAGAGGATACTTCCTAAAAACCTTTTTGATGCAATGTCTTATGATTCTACCAATCATGACACAGCAACAGATTGTACCAAGCAATTACAGGATCTCAGACCACCATTATCTTCTACCTTTCCAAATATTTAGGGTTTGTTCACTCCCACCCACCCCCAAGAAATTTTTCAACACACAAAAACAAGAAACAAACAACCCCATTCTACACTTTGTTCCAATTTATATTCTAGAGGTTATCTGGGAGACAAAATGCTCCTCTTCTCCATTACCATTTCCAGTTTCAAACCCTTTGTACTGCAGTCAGGGAGGATTCCTGGAGACTATTTACTGAACTCCTGGCTCAGTTCAACAGATTCTTTTCTACAGTAGAAGGCACTAAAATCCAGATTCAAAATCTACTCAACACCTAGGCTTTTTCTCTCTTAATGAAGTGTCTTCAGTACTTCAAATCACCAAACCACTAGCTTCTAATCAAAAGAAAATGAACTTTCATCATTATGCCACGGATCATTTCTCCCTTACCATTTTGTATGTTTCATCGTGTCGCTTCGTGAGTTTCCACAATAAATGTATTATGCTAAGAACTTGCTGCATGAGCTGCTGAGATTCTGATTCCAAAAGGTTTCCAAGAATGGGAGCTGATTGTGCAGGAGATGCTTCAATCCAGCACTCAATCAATAATGGAATTATTATCTCAATAAAACCTTTTAAGTTTTCAGCCGAGGACAGGCCTTTTTCTGCACTGTCCATTACACTTGTCAGAGACCTAGACAACAAAAGCAAAAGAGCATAAAAAGATAAAGATCACACCTTTCAAGACAAGATTACAGTAATACCACTTTCCTGATTTCTAAATAATGGGAAAAGTTACTTTTTTAAACACATTAAATATTTGCTGGCTTTCTTGCTAGATATTTCAGTATGGAAAAAAAGGGAGTTCAAACCATCTACAACAAACCTGCTCCCAAGTCTCCCTGCAAGTTTGTGTGCTTCTTTAACAACTTCTTAGATTTCAGTATTTCTTTCCCCATTGTTACACGTAAAGTCTATGAAATGGAGAAATACAATACGCATTATCCTATCACCTTCAACCAATGATAAGGAATTAATTATATTCAGCACAACAAAATAATAAAAAACCCCTTTTAAGCTCATTAAAGCAAAATAATGAAGCTGACTACAAGGTGTTGTCAAATGCATAAGGTTTATTACAGTTAATAACCATCTCCAACTATAATAAACACAATGTTTTTCACATCAAATGTGGAAAAAAGTGTTCCTGTAAAAATATACCTTTGGTTCCCACCTGATGTTTAGCTACTATGCTCTGAAAAGCAACTAAACAGAAAATGATCTGATAATGAAGTTAAAAAAATTTAAAAACTAAGATACAGTTTAAATTAATATATCATCTCCTAGAAATCAAGAAAAGCAACTCTTTTTCTCCCCCTATTCAAAAAACACCTTGTGTCTCTGAAAGGATAATCAGCAGTTATGACCTAACACTGCTACTACACACTACTACAAATTCAAGCAATTTGTATACAATTTGAAAAGAAGATTCTTTAAATGAACTAAAACCCTGGATAAATCCTGTTAATTTTAATGAGTACAGACTCCTTAAAAAAGGCAACAACAGTTTCAATCGATCATTTGTAAAATTGTTTTCCATTGTGATTTTGTTTCCTAATTCATCTTCCTCCTCATCCGAACCCACCCCCTGTTCAATAATAACCAAACTGCCCTAACTCTGTGCCTCTGCCTAGGAGCTCTATCCACACTATTTGCAGCCACGTGTGCCCTTACCCAAAACGACATTAAAAAAATCATTGCCTTCTCCACTTCAAGCCAGCTAGGACTAATAATAGTTACAATCAGACTAAACCTACCCGAACTGGCTTTCCTTCACATCTCAACTCATGCATTCTTCAAAGCCATGCTCTTCCTGTGCTCAGGCTCCATCATTCACAGCTTAAATGGTGAACAGGACATCCAAAAAATAGGAGGACTCCAAAAAATACTCCCCACAACCACTGCATGCCTCACCATCGGCAACCTCGCCCTAATAGGAACACCATTCCTAGCAGGGAATTCCTATCATAATTCTAATCTCCTAACATACATAAGATTAGCACACTGAACCTCCTGCTAAACTCCCTTTTATTTCAGTGATCATCTCCAAGTCATCTTTCTTTACATATACACTCAAAATAGGAACTGGAAAACTTTCAACAGACCTGCAGAACTTTTGTTGACAAGTATTTTAATTTCGTATTGAAGATGTAAAGCAGTTTTCCTAGTCACTTCTAAATTATCAGATTAGTTTTATCTTCTATTAGTTCTATCCTTCTAGCTACATGTTGTTGCCATCATCTTTAATACAAATCATAATTATTTTATTCTGCCATTTCCCTCTAGTTGGTATCACTGTATCAAGAAAATTACCAAACCAAAACCCAGGTATTAATGACGTGGATAAGGAACAGGGAAAAGCAATTAAAACAAAGCGTGAGACAAATACAAACCATTTTTCAATGAAGGCAAGATGGGGGAGAGAAATTAGATCTCCACCACAAAATAAAAGGGATAAGTGGAAACATAACTGATCATAAGAAAAAAAAAATTGCTTTACTTTTACTTACTACAATTATCAAACATGTTAAAATTTATAAAGCTTAGCTTTAACTGCAGCAACCAACATATCAAATAAATATAATGTGGTTTATTTGTTTGTTTGTTTGCCGTATTTCCCTTCTGTAGTGCAGGCACTGCAGTAGACACCGGCTTCTTTCAGACTACAAAGAGTTTAAGGTGAGTGGTTCTATCTCAGACTTTTTAACTCTCAGTCATCTCAAATACAGCAGACAAATCCCATCTTTCAGTTACAATCACAATGAATTCTAAAGCCTTTTGATACCATGACTATAATCTGATTGAAAAAGTGAGGTTGTCCTGTAAATGCTATGCTGTGACAGGATTATGCTCTCAGATGAGAGTCTAAAATTTCAGTAATTAGCTGGAATAGTTCTGAAGTAGTAGTCTTTAGTAATTTCTTTTCTAAAAACTACTTGATATTACAGCAGAACTCTGGAATTCCAGCAACTTATTTAAGGAACACAAAAATCTCCCAATTAAAAAGTGAATAGCGCATGAAACCTGAGGAGCTGGTAATCCACACTGGAAGATTTTTACAGAAGTGTAACACACAACTATTTCAGTACTTTTCTGAAACAAGGAATGGAAAAAGGAAGAATTAGTGCCAAAAGGGGTACTCCTCCCAGCTGCTGAAAGCACTGGGTAAGAATACTTAGCATAGCTTTCATGCACCCCTGCAGAAGAAGCCCCTATCTCTCAAGGTAAGACTCCTCCACACATTCAGAGTTAACAATAAAAGTGTAAAATACATTTTAGGTGCCAGTAAGAGATGATGACAAAGTATAATAGCAATCTGTCCAGCATTTATTTGATTAGTACAGTATCCTTAACAATACAGGTTCACTTGACCTGGGCAGGTTTGATGGCAATTGTGCTGTCACACATCTGCTATCACTACCCTTGAATGGTAGGGTGACTTTTAGAAACACTGCAAAGCATATTACCTTTATATCAGAATGAAATACTATTGAAAGGAGCTACAAGGTATTTGTGTACCCCCTAAGTTGCCATTTGTCTTTAAAATGCCAGTATTTTTATACAGCAGGACCAAACAAACAAAAATTGTGTAAACATCTGCCATTTGACAATAAGAAGACAACAGAAATTCAGCAAAGGGAAGTCAAAGAAAGTATAAAAGAAATAGAAAATAAGGAAATAACTTGCTGGTCTTTAAAGCAGGAAAAGTCTTTGGAAGTTAAGTTTTTATGGCTTGCAGTTTAAGCCAGGTTACTTGTTCTCCTTTTCTGTGTGCACTGCCAAATGCAGCAAACACAGGGCACACCAAGTGAACTGCATTCTCCATTTCTCTTTGATGCACATGTACATATTTATTGGCTATGCTTCATCTTCCATTTCAGTTTCTCAAGTCATTTTTGCTTTTCTCTGCAGCTTCATATTGAACTCTCAGCAGAACCTGAAGCTCAACTGTTTCTCTTCCAGTCAAAATAAAAATAAAAATCACACGCCTTGGTACCACCACATTTGAGTTGTGAAGCCTTTCTGTTTTCCACACCTGAAATGAGTTTGATGCAAAAAGCAGCACAGTCAGCACATAATGCAGAGAATACATTCTAACAATTTTCTAATACACTGCAATTTTTAATTTATACACAGTAGGAAGATCTACCACACAACAGAAGATAACAAAGTCTTAAGATTTGCATCATTGAATCATCCAGCATTCCAAGCTCAGAATCTATCCTTTTTATTACACAGTAATACTGCAAACTGATTCAGAAAATCTCATTCCATTATCACTAGGTTATTATTGATATGTCAGCCCTGTCCAATGAGCTTGCAAGATTAAATAGATACAGGAACTTTAAAAATTTAGTATGCTATTATGCAGTTTGGAAAAACAAAGCTGAAACTTACTTGGAGTATTAGTGACAAGACCACCAATACACACACACACTCTGCAAATAATTACTTATGGTTTGGTCAACTCATTATCCTTAGCTAGTCATAGACTTGACTATTTGACTTTAAACACACACCTCTTATTACAACTAATTTCTGTCTTTGCAGTAGTGGCCATACCAGAGGCCTGGGAATGGCCATAAAAGGCAACAACTGGGATTGGAAGTGACAGAATTAAACACCTTGAGATTATTAGAAATTATTTCAGCGGCCAATACAAAAAACCACCACCACAACTCTTCACTATTGCAACTTCACACATAGTCACTAAAACAAGCTGTACCCTTGTGAAAAACAAAAACATCAAAAATATGCACAAATGCAATAAAATGAGAACATTTTAGTACCTTCAGCAGATGATCCTTCCCTCTCTATTCTTCTGTTCTGCTGCCATCAGCTTGCTTTGCCAATCTCGCCTTGGATTCTAGCCACGTCTCCTTCTATTCTTCTGGCTCCTCCTCATGCTTGCAAACATCTTTTTGTGAGTATTTATAACCAGAAGCACATCACGATGTTCCACCAAAATCTAGCTCCTCAGAAAAGCGGAATCCAATTCAGGTGACACCAGATGTAAAGTTTATTTCCCTAGACCTTGGATACAATGCATCTTCAGCTATTACACGGCCTGGTACATCACACACTGCATATCACCCAGGGCACAATACAAGCATCCTCTGACACACAGTGGTCCACAACTGTGTGCTTCTGACTGCAAAGAGGAACTCAATAGGACTGCTCTGGGCTCAGCACTGAACCCTTCCCCTGCCTCAAGGGGGCATCACAGGCCTAGTTGGTGATGTTTAGTTGTGATTTTAGCTGCCAGCTAAAATCTCACCTGCAGCAGATACTGCTGGCCATGACTGAACACTTACGCTGACAACCACTTTTAGGAGAATAAACTGATCTTCTTACTTAGCTTAATATGTTTCCTATACCTACCATAAGTAATATGCTACCTCCAAAGAGGAAGCCTAGGAGAGCAGGAATGGATGTCTCTCCCTGACAGAGATGGAAAACACCTGCCAATTCAGGTCAACCTGTGTATTCAGAGAGAACACCTCTTCTTCTGTCCTTCATTCCTTCAAAGATATAAGATGGACATAGTAATGGAGTAGGCTGTGGGTTTAATCCCCCTTTTTGCCACTGACTTCCTAGATGAATTTGGTAAAACTGCTTTATACCTCTTATTTTGTCTACTCCAGCAGTAAAACAAGGATTGTGGTTTTTCTTCAAACCACCTTGGTATCCATAGGGAACAGAGCTATGTAACAGCTAAACTGCTTCCATTTTTTATATCACCATTCCAGGTCTCCTGCCAGCAGATATGTAACATCCATAGTAATGCATATGAGGATGCCAATGTTCAAATAGCACCAAAAAGTGAGGTGGGAGGTTCACCTCTAGTGGGTGAATCAGAGAGGAATCCAAACAGCTGTTTATTTCTCCCTTAACTTCAGCTCACATCTGTTTACAGTACTACTGAAACCCACACAAACCTTTCTGTGACTAAGCACACTATGCTTCCTTTCATATTCATCAGCATGTCTCAGCTGAGACATCTTTCATCCACTGTGAATATATAAACTGGTGAAGTGATTAAAATATCTAGAATTGGAAACTCAGCAGAACTTCATACCACCAGACACATCCTATCCTGCTGTCCTTTTTAAAAGGAGCTACAGTCAAAGACAACACACTCCTAAGCTTATGATAAGACTCCTGAAGGTAAAAGCACAAAATTTCAGTGAAATTCATTATCACAAACAAGCTTACATTTCACACAAAGAAATTTGCCTACTTGTCCCTAGGTCTGTTAGACATCCTGCAAGAAGTTGTCAGTTTGCATTCCAAAAATATTCCAACAGAGCTGGTAATCCAAAATTATGATTAATAGCACAAAATAAAATCTTTGTAATGGAAAGGTTCTTGATATACACAATACAGTTATCTGCTGAGTATTCCTGTATTTTCAAGCCTCTGCAGTACATTACATATTACACTAAGTGTCCTAAAATATGGCTAAGGGACAATCCCACAAAAAAAAAAATCAAATTTATGATCACACAATTTAATTGGCTTAAATTCCCAAACTAGTTAACATTTTCTCACCTCAGTCTAAATGATGAGTTGATCTTTGGTCGTAAGCCACCATTTTCAAACAGTTGTATAGGTTGCTGATTATTTGCATGGAGCTTCCAACTAATACATACTGGGGTCCTCACAGAATGAGAGCTGTCCTGTTCTTGAAGCCCTTCATCCTCTGTATCACTGGATCCATCTACCACTGCTTGGAGAAACTTCTTGAGCCTGGTAAGTACATTCAACCTCCACTGCTGAGAAGTTACTCTGCGATTTGGGTTAACAGAGAGCATCCACGAAAGTTTGTCCCTGCTTTTCAGTCTTTTTGAGAGTTGCTGGTGAGAAATAAGCTCTACAAAATTCTTCAACAATATAATGCTGCGGTCTGTAAGAAGAGCTGGGTATGCTTCCAATAAAACGTCCAAGACTTTCAATGAATCTTCCTGAATTCCCTCACTGATATGAGTCATGGCACTAGAGAGATGGGCACTTACCAAAGGAAAAAATGGAGCAATCTGTTCTGCTCTTATTTTTGAAGCCAAGAACTGCAGCAGGTGAACAGCTGCTCCTCTGACACTGGAATCTTTGTCTGTAAACACAGCTGCCACCTCACTTATTATACTGGAAAGGTGTGCATCAATTACAAAGGGATACTGAGACAGGAGTTCTTTGAGTCCAAGAAGTGCATTATGCTTAACCCCAGGGCTATAGTGATGCATCTGTGAGAGCAGATCCTATAAGGAAACAAATATATACACTTGCCATCATTATTATTTTAACTTTCAAATTTCCCCCATGTATTTTTTGCACATTTTTCCTAAACACTTAAAAATACAGAATATTCGTATGATGTACTGCTGTTCATAAGAGCAAGATGGGTTTAGAACAAACATGGTATGCATTTTATAGCACAACAATTAACAAATTGTTAATCAGAATTCAGTGATAGGAAAAACAAGATATAATGACTTGTCCTTAGGTCTCATTCTTAAGTTTATGCACAACCCCACTGACTCAACAGAGTGATGACCAAAGGAAAGTCCTCTCACTCTTGTTCTCAAAAGCAGAACTACAAAACCTCAGCCTGAATAGCTTTCCTCTGTTTCAGCACAGAGCTGTAAGAGACAGAAGAGGACACAAAGAAAGTAAAACAAATCCAACCCCCAGAGAAATACAAGATTGTTTAAAAACGAGGGTGCATTCAGATAGCCCGCTGCATTTATTTACTTTTTTTATAAATGTTTTTTTCCCAAATTGCAGTAAACATAGTCAACCTAGACAAAAGGCAAACAATTTTCTGTCATTTCAGAATGTAATATCACAGCATACCTTTATGTTAAGTTTTCTATTTTGTGTAGGAAGCACTCCATCTTCTTTAAGCTGCTCAGGAATTTGTATGGCCTTTGTTTTGAAGGTAGTATCAGTTGCATTCTCTAGCTTAGGCTTTTTTTTCCCAACTTTGAATTTCACTTTCTGGAAATCCTCCTGACGTTTCCTTTTTTTAGTCATCCTGATTCTCTGCAAAAAGAGAATTTAATCGATTAAATACAAAAGTAGTTTTTCCACCAAAGAGCAGCAACCTCCTAACAACAGCTACTGTTTTCATTCTTTTGTCTATGCATAAATGAGTGTCCACTCCTGAGACAAGATGCTAGACTAAACAGACATGCAGACTGATTCCATGCAGCTGCTCTTCCAGTGTCCAGAAAACATTCTGCTGCTCCTTTGGCCGTCTTTGCTTTGAGAACTACTTTATCATCAAGCATCCAGATATCTGCGTCTGCCACTGCTTCACCAACAGTTAAGTTGCTGATTTGGTTTTGTTTTCAAAAGTTCCTGCCAACAAAGCGACTTTTTACATACTCAGTTCTTGTCAAGCCAAGGAGCTCAGTGAACTGCTCCCTTTCAATTGCACATTGCTCACCAAGTCCATCACTAGCAGCACGCAGCCTGCACATGGACAATCACAGGTTTAAACAGGCCTCCACCAATAAAAGGACACAAAACACCTAAGGAAACTTACACTGAAAATTCCAGTCTGTGCATTTAAATATAACTAGAAGTAGGGGGAAAGAAGAAGTCAAATGGGCAACTACAGACTAAAAAAAAAAAGGAAAACAGACATTTTTAATAAGGCATAAGAAATGAGATATCTGAGCCACTGTACTTGTAAGCTGTACAAACATACTAGAATAGAGGCAAAATAACCAAAACAAATTAAAACTCTCATAAGTTTCTAAATAGCTTTTTGGGTTTGTTCTATCTGTTTTGATCCTGAAGTACATATCTACCAAGTTAAAAAAAAATGAACGCACTGAAAAGGCCCCAACAAACACTACACCACAGATTTATTTAATCCTCTCAAAAAAACCCCAAACAAACCACCATCCACTTTCCCCACAAAAAAAACCTGAATCAAGAAAAACCCAAGCCAAAAACTCCAACAATACAACTGACTAAACCCAGAAATTTCTAAATAACATATCCAAACAATGATTCTCTTCTGGTGGATGTGATAATCATTCCTACAGCTGATTTTCCCAATGGACTTCAAGCTGAAATTTGTGCTGTAGTAGAGTATTTCATAAATACATCAACAGGAAAATCATTAAAGAATGTTTTAAAACAGACTGTAATTTTCTATTATTTTAAAACAATTTAAACAACTGATTACACCAACATTTGTCAGCAATTTAATTTTGCTTTTCACACACTAGGTTAAAAAATCATATGCAAGACCACTTTAACTGAAGTACAAATTTGGCACAAGTAACCTATGAACTCAAAAGGTTTTAAAAAACTTGGAGCCTGGTGCCAAAAGAAAAAGGTCCTTTAGTGTCCAACTATAACAACCATAGCTTAATAAACGTTTGATTTTTACCATATGCATCTTTTTAAGAAAGAATTACAAGAATTTCACCACTTGATATATAGAAATATCTAGAAGCTTTTGGCGTAGAAGTTATTTCCACTTACAAGGTTTGCTTTTACAAAAGTAGATGTCTGGGTCCCAATCAGCATAAAAACTTCACAACACAGGTGTGCACACAACTGAACAGAGCAATTAAGTTCTTTTAAAGGAGCAGGCTTGTAAAATATCCTTTCTCCTGCTAAAAGCAGCACAGCTTACATCACAATAAATATTCTGGGAATAATTGGTAATCTAAGCCTATCTATTTCCAATTCATATGTACCATGCTATACCAAAGGAAAAATCCTTACAAAATATAAGGATGTAAGCACCACAGTGGCTACATAATAAGACATCAGGCAAAACTGTCTACAGCTGATGAAATTATGTAACCATTTCAATGAAACTTCCTGCTGAAACAACTGCCTTGGACACAAACTGCATTTTACGAGGAGAGACTGTGGGAGCTGGGCCTGTTTAGTCTGGAGAAGACCGAGAGGGAATTTAATTATTGCATTTAAATTTCTCCAAGATGGGTGCCAAGAATATGGTGCCAGAGTGTTTTCAGTGGTGCCCAGCAACAGGATGAGGAGCAACAGCCATACACAAAAACACAAGAAATTCCACCTCAACATGAAGAAGAAATTCTTTAAGGGTATAAGAGCACTGGAACAGGCTGCCCAGGAAGGTCTCTGGAGACAATCCAACCCACCTGGATGCATTCCTATGTCACCTGCTCTAGGTTATACTGCCTTGGCAGGCAGACTGGACTAAATGATCTCCAGAAGTCCCTTCCAACCCTAACTAATCTGTGATTCTGTATATTTTCACCTGGCCCTCCTCCAGCAAAACTGAGCACCTAACACGGCTTTACAATCCAAAGCATTAAAACAACGTCTAATCGATGCAGGCTTCCATAGATATAAAGTAGCATGCATCGCTTTTCAGACACCACGTCCGATGTCACTCAGGCACCCTCACCTCAGGCTCAGAAAAATACTCGGTTACAGGTAGGACCCGATGATCTTGGAGCTCTTTTCCAACCAAATGATTCTGGTTTCACTCCCTCGCAGCTCTCAAGCAGCATCCTTCGGGAACCTCACAACCTTGCTCAGTCAGGAAAATCCTGAGAAACCCGAAGGCAAGGCACACGCCCTAACCGACTCCTCCAATCTGATAAGGATTTCCCCGCGGGCGAGCTCTCTCCCGGCACAGCACAGCGATACTTACAGGCGATCACCTCTGCGCGGCTCCCGCGCCGGCAGCGCATCCCCCGCCGCCGCCGCCACCGGGACCGGACCGCACCGCACCGCCCGACCCCGCGCCCGCCGTACCCGAGCGCCGGAGCGGCCGCTCCTCCCGCGGGTTTAGGCTGTCACGCTGCCTTCCTCGCCGTCCCGGGACATCCTTCGGCTCGCTCCCCGAACGCCGCTTCCCTCCGCCCCGCTCCAGTCGCTCTGCGAGGCGTTCAAATAAAGGCGCGTCAGTGCCGGCCCGGCGCCGGGGAGGCCGCGAGTTCGGCTCCGGGGATCGCCGGGCGAGGCGGCGAGGAGAAGCCGCCGGGGGAGGTGGGGCAGGGGCGGCGGCGCGCGGCGTAGCCGATGCCGCCGGTTTGCCCGGGAGCAGCAGCCGGCCCGCGCCGCCGCGGCTCCCGCTTTTCCCGCCGCCTCCCTGGCGCAGGAACGTGAGGGGAGGGCGGGTCGCACAAAAGGCGGGCGGCCCTTGGCGCAGGGGCCCGGCGAGCGCGGCGGCCCCGGCGAGCAGGGCCGGACCGAGAGGGACCGCGCCGGGCTCGGGATCCCGATCCCGCTCTCCGTCCGCCTCCTCCCGCCCGGCCCGCGCGCGGCCGCTCGCTCCCTCACTCACCAACCACGCGCGCGGCAGCGCCAGCCCCGCTTCCGCCCCCGCCGAGCGCCTGCCCGGAAGCGGCCGGCCACGTGAGCGGCGCCGCCAGCGCCCGCCCCGCGCGCCAGTGGGACGCGCGCTTCCGCCGCGGCCGCGCGCGCTGGCGCCCCCTGCAGGCTGGGCGGCCCCGGGAGTGCCCCGGCCCAGCGGGAAGGCGGCTTTGAGGGGAAGGGGAGAGGCAGGCACTAATCGCTCCTCTTTGGTGACCGGCGGGCAGGACCCGAGGGAATGGCCCCAGGTTGTGTCAGGGGAGGTCTGGGTTTGTGAAAAATGTGTACTTTATGATTGGCTTTTTGTGACCGTGTTCACAGGGGTCCGAGGATGAGGGAAGAGACGAGGATCTGACTTCATATTTCAGAAGGCTTGATTTATTATTTTATGATATATATTATATTAAAACTATACTAAAAGAATAGAAGAAAGGATTTCATCAGAAGGCTAGCTCGGAATAGAAAAAGAAAGAATGATAGCAAAGGCTTGTGGCTCAGAGAGTCCGAGCTAGCTGACTGTGGTTGGCCATTAATTAGAAACAACCACATGAGACCAATCACAGATGCACCTGTTGCATTCCACAGCAGCAGATAACCATTGTTTGCATTTTGGTCCTGAGGCCTCTCAGCTTCTCAGGAGGAAAAAATCTTAAGGAAAGGATTTTTCATAAAATATGTCTGTTACGGCTTTTTGCAAATATTAAAATTAATATTATATGTGTTGTGTTAGAAAGTAATGCTGTGTTAATTCTCTTAAGTAGTGTGTTAAATATAGTTTTACATTATAGAAAATGTTAAAATAGAAACTATGCTTTGTAGGATACTTTTTTTAAAGAAAGGACTCGCAGCAAGATAGCAGCCACAGGACACCTAAATCTTTCAGAGAAAAAGAATTTATTGCTCTCTTATCAGAAGAAATGAACTTCTTCCTCCCTCGAAGGCACTGTTAGGATTCAGAGGAAGAAATTGACAATGACCAGACAGAATCCTGTGTTTGAATGGAATTTATGCATCTTGTATGAGATGTATGAATATGCAACAGGCTGTTGTTTTTAAGGGTTAATCCTTTGTTAACGGGTGTCCTTTTTCAGGCTTGTGCCTGCCCAGAAAAAGGTACCCGGACATCCGTAACTCTTTGTTTCTATTGTCTCGTATTATCCTAATTCAAATTCTCCAAAATATTATTACTCTAATTGTATTACTATTTTTATAACCATTTTATTACTATTAAACTTTTAAAATTTTAAAAACAAGTGATTGGCATTTTTCAGTGATTGGCATTTCACAGGCACAAGTCCTGTGAGGAGCAGCTGAGGGAGCTGGGTTTATTTAACCTGGAGAAAAGGAGGCTCGGGGGGACCCTATCCCTCTCTACAAGCACCTGAAATGAGAGCGTAGCCAGATGTGGGTCAGCCTCTTCTCCCAGGCAATCAGCAACAGGATGAGAGGACACGGTCTTAAGATGTGTCAGGGGTAGTTTAGGTTGGACATCAGGAGGAATTTCTCTACTGAAAAGAGTTGAACATTGGAATGGACTGCCCAGGAAGGTGATGGAATCACCATCCCTGCAGGTATTTAAGAAAGACAGGAGTGCCACAGTTCAGTAGACAGTTCAGTGCTGGGTCACGGGTTAGGCTTGATCTGAGGCCTTTTCCAACCTAATTGATTATGGGATTCTTCCAGTGATGGCACTGCAGAGTCAGCATTGGCATATGAGGTTATTGTTATTATTTCACATATAAACCACAAGGCATGCTGCACACTTTTGTACATTCATACCCAGATAAAGCTTGTTGTTCCAAAGGGGTAACAAATTCCCACATCAGAAAGAGTGCAAAACCCTGGGAGATCCAGGAAGCAACAAACGAGAAGGATGTTCCACACCTGTCTACAATGTCTCAATTTACACGAGACAGTAACTCTGCAGTTGCACGCTCTAAACTTCTCATTTCTTGTCAATTAAGCTGTGAACACCCTTCTCCCTTCCCCTTTCTGCCTTCTGTGAGGAGTTCTGCAGCTTTTTGTTAAAAATCCTTTCCTCTGGTCTCAGTAAAATACATAAAACCTAGATGAAGCTTTACAGAAAATTATTTTCTCTTGGTTTATTTTTTGTTATTGTTTACCTTTTAATTTTATTAATTCTTTAGTTACCTCAGAAGTCTGCCTTACTGTTATTGTGAGAAACCAAAAATGTATAATATTAAATACAGCCAACAGCATTGTTTAAATATTATCAGTAAAGATAATACTTTTTTTTCTTCCTTACTTTGCAGTACTGGCACAAGTAAAACATTAAAATGTATTTTGGAACAAATATACAGTTTTCCATTATTATAAGAATACACCAAAGCAGAGGCAGATACAAGAATAAAACAATACAATGCTTCTTCCTCTATTTGCACCAGGTAAGCAAGGAAAAAATAAATATAATTGTACAGCTGAATGGACTATGTTGGACTGTGTTTTTTGAAAACATTTCCAGAAGCATACACTTGCTGACTTTTACCCAGTTTAGGCTTCTCTTTGAGAGGCACAGCAGCACTCTGCAGCACACCATTCAACCATTTTATGTCAATGTACTACAGATTTAGGGGTCTCTCCTTTTTCAGCGTGCTCCTCCTGCACCCAAGCAAAAAAATCCACCTCAAATCCAAGTTATTTCAGCTTATTGTAACTTTATGTTCACTTGGAATGATTCCACAGTAAGAGGAAAAGAAGCTGCCTCAGAGATGGCCATTTACAACAGCTGAATATTCTGATTTTGTTATTTTAATACAAAGATTGTTCTGCATTTTGAAAACAAACAGGAAAAAGATGTTTCTATTTTTATTTTCAGAATTCAGAATTTTTGCTGATTAAGTTCACCTCCATCAAGCAGGCATTAAAATTGTTCCTATACAGAATAAATGAACTGTAAGAACTATGGTTCCATCTCTGCCTCTGATAAGAACAGATTTAGATGCATTCCAGAAATTCCTCAGAGTTTCTTTAAAACATAGTGTTTTAATTTTTGTGTGAACTGTTTTCCTTCCTGTGTCTGTTCACATAATAAACTCATAAATTTTGTTGCTGCTTTCTTTGTTACCTTAGTTTTACTGCATCTTGCATTCTATGGTATGAAGATGTGAAACCATCAGGATGAGAATTCTCAAATTCTATCCGGATCTCAAAAAAAATCTAAGTTAACACTAAAATGTTCATTTGCCATCTGGCCCCAGCATGTCTAAGTTACATCAGTATTTGGCTGCAAAGCTGAAGAGCTTTTATTAGAACCACTGAATGCTACCCAGCATCACAAGCAGGAATTTAATTTTAATCACTTTAAAAAAATATTTTTTCCCAAGCAAACTAATCTATAACCATTCAAAACATTTTTCCACCCTCCTACAAAAGCAGAAGTCATTAATATAGAGACATGTACATTCAGTCAGAACCAGTACTACTTTAGTTGGAAAAAAGCTCATGTTAAAAGTGCCTGAAGGACAGTGTAAGCCAGCATTCATTTCATTCTTATACTGGCAGGATAAAAGACAAAAGATACTTTTGCCACCACATCAGTGCCTCTTAGGCAGAGCCTGCTTAAATTTCCTGTTGGGAAATATCTCTAAATTTGCAAACTTCTACTAACTTTGCTGAGCTTCTATGCTCCTTAAATCAGCTATGATCCAGGCACTTCTCATCTCAGCACGAGACTGACAGCGCTGACTTTTTATTATTATTTTTAATCTTTTTAAGAAAAAGATATGGAGACTTGTTCATAACCCTTATATGGGAAAGGGTTTTTATTACAAAGGCTTTTTAGTCAGTCCGAGCAGCCAGCCACAGGGAATAACTTCCAAGCATTTGTTGTAGGATGAGTTTGTACTGCTGAGTGCAGTAGTTCATTCTGCTGATAATTCTTTGTAAAAGAACCAACAAAAAGAAAAGTTCAGACTGTCAATGTACAGTATTTAATAATACTGAAGAAAGCAAGTTTACCTGTTTTAAAAAGCTGTCTTAACACAGAAAGAATGAGCATGAGCTTTACAACCTTTCCACAATATAGAACTTTCAGCTAAATGGAAAAATAAATAACAAGAACATCAAAAGCAAGTTATTAATTTAATATAAAAAACACTGTACAAAACTTAAATGTAAAACAAAATAACTCCACTGAGGTCAAATGAAGTAAAACAACAAACTTACAGAAAGGAAACATTGCTACATTATCTCTATTAAGTACCACGTCACTGTGTGCTGCCATTGCTTGGTCCCCTCAGAGTTCCGCTTTCAGTCAGGATCCTTATAACATTCGGTATATCAATTCCTTAGTTAAAGGCAAACAAACAAACAAAATCAAAAACCAAGCAATTTTATGATAAAGTATATTTAAAAATACATGTTATACTGAAACATTCAGATGCTGAGATGAGTTTTGGATCTTTCCTTATTAAAAGAAAAATACCTTAATGGAGAACAATCAGTATGTGCCTGGAAACTGTAAGCTTTCCTACAAATGTACTCATCTTTAGTGCTCTTTTTTTAACCTTTGTGAGGTTACACACTCTGAGAAGCTTAGAAACATACACAGGAAGCTTCTGAAGAGAGAGCAGTAGTTGACTGAAGACATGGGAAGGTTTAATAGCTGACACTTATTAGAAAGTTGTAAGCAAAAGGGAGACTACTTGTCTCTGATTCAATATTATTTCTATATTTTCATATCTATTTATATATTCATATATCTATATTTTCATACATATTAATTATTATTTCTATTATTTCTGCGCAAATACACTTCTTTCAGGAACTGGTAAATAAAAAAATTCTTCACTGTTGGTATTCACAAAACTAGCATTTCTCCACTTACAGCTCAGAGAAGATTCTAATTTTTTAATAACAGTATATTTGGTTTTAGTTTACTGTCTCTTGCCATGCAAATGTTACTATGCAAAAATGAGAGAATTAAAAAAAAAAATCAGCAATTACTAATGCCTGTATGGGAAAGCAGCTATTCTGAATTACCATTCCTAAACTGGATCCTGCAAAAGTTTAGAGGGTGGGAAAAAAGAATTCTCTTCAACCCTCCCTAATACCTCAAAGTTCTTTGACCCGTATAAGCCCTTAATATTTCCCAGAGCTAATAAATGATGTTATGTATATGTTTATATATGTGTAGGTGTGTGTGTACATGTGTATGCAAATTACCTCTGAAAGCTGGATTTGATGCTGCTATTTTGTGTAGGGTGTCAGTAACTTCCTCAGCATTCATGTTTCTTACACTCTTCAAAAATTCAGTTGTGATGTTGTTCTCATATGCTGTTTCCAGAGCGCCAGTTGAAAAGTTCTGGGCTTCACCTTCATTGGCTGGTAAGAACTGCTTAGCTGACCAGCTGCTTGTGTAGTCTAAAGAAGGGAAATACTGTTTTTCAGTAAAAGAGGATTCTGAAGAGCCTCCACCACTTATTTCTCTAAAGAGGGCTTTTCAAAGCAAGCATGTCCAGTCTGGCACAGCAGCATTGCTGGTACTGATCACACCTGACTTTGCTGCATTTTCAAACCACCAAGAGTCAGGAATGCTGTCCAGTTACAGAAAATCCTGGAGAAACAAGGGTGGGGAGGTAGGTGAAAGCTATTTCCATTACACTAACAAAAACAGAATAAAAGTCTCAAATCTCATATATTCAAAGTCACTGCAATTTTTGGTATTACCATTGTAAAAATTAAGGTTTTCAAAATCTAAACTTTCTAGAAAAACTAGAAAATTGACACAGTACAGAAAAAAAAAAAATCACACAAAATAGCTTCACCAGTATTCCAGGTATCTTGGTTTTCCAAGCATAGGATTGTACTTTCTAAGTTTAAGAAAAACAGCCATTTGTTTCTGTCAGAATAAAATGACCTCCAAGAAATCCAGGATTCTTTGAAAAAATTAATCAGAAATCCTGAGCCCAAGTAGCTGAAGTATTCAGGTTTTAAAGATAATTATCTATCCTCTGTCACATAACTTTCTACAAACATCTTGATTTGACTAAACCTGCAGGAAACATCTCCTCCATCAAGAAAGGAAAAAAATATTGGGGAAGAAAAAAAAGCCAAAGAGACTTTGAAAGTCTCCTTAGAAACAGGTGCCTTTGAACACAGGACAGTCAGAGTTGGTACTACCTCAATTTCTCCCCAGATCCTACAGTTAAGTAGGATCAATGTGTTTTAATAGTCATCTCTTTCTAATATTAGTAGAGGATGGGGGAAAAAAGCCAGACCTATTCATTTATGCTACTTGACTCTGGCTTTATTCTGCTCTTAACCACTGCTTTTAGAAAAGCAGGAAGAAAGCTTACTATCATTTATGCAAGGTTCAGTGTTAAGATTAACCCACACTAAAGACTGCAAAGCCAACATTACCAGTGTCAGAATCATTAATATCTGCTGAAGTTGGGCCAGGCTGTTCTGTGGAATATTCTAGGGCTGCTTCTCCATTATATCCAGCACCTAGGTGGTCCTATGAGTTTAAAAAAAACCAAAAAGTTCGAAATCTCATGAGGACAACCTCTTGGAACAATGAATACTACATTTTTAACAATCACAAACCAAATAAAAGACCACTATTTCTGCTACCAAATCTGAAAAATCACATATTTCTTTCCAAATCATAGGGCTAATAACTTCTCTGTACTGTCCATCATATCTCTCTGTCTGAAAAAGCTCTATATTAGGCAATGAAGTGATACTCATTGAGCCTAATCCTCAACTTGTCAGATCTAAAAAGGAAGCATCTCCCACCCATAATAGGAGATTTAGCTAAAAAAATTACCAGTTGAAAGATCACAGTTTAGAATACTAACAAGGCCTAATGTAAGAATACATTTTGGTCTTCCACACCTTGTAGGTTAGAAGTTATTTCAGTTAAAACTTCATTGTTTTGTAACATGTCAGCAGCCTCCGAAAAGTATTCAAAACATCTCCATATGTACTGCTTACGTAAAGATAAGTCAGTCACAAGTAATAGCAGAGAGGGGAAAAACTGGGTTTCTAATAATGCAAGAAGAATGAGACCTCAAAAAGAACAGTCCAAAGAGTAGGACCAGAAGTTGTATAAGAAAAAAAAAAAATCATGTCACTGATGCACGATAACATGGTGAATAAAGTGAAGCCTGGACACAGAAACAGGCTTCTGTTTCAGGAGTGTTATGCAAGTCAGTAGAGATGAGAAAAGCTTAAGTTAAAAATGGGCAAAAGTAGCAGAAAAACTTAAATGGAAGGAAAAGCATGGGAAATAAGTGACAAGATGATTTTTACTTTCTATCTACAATAAAAAATAAGCAAGCACCATTGAACAGAAATTAATACTTGTCAACAGAAAAGCTAAAGTTTTACCCTATCACCACTACCAAAATTTATGTATTTAATAAGCAAAACTTACAATACAGTCTCCATAGAATTTTTTGGTTTATTGTATCATCTATAATAATAAAAATGCACAATCACAGGAATCTACGAGTTTGTAGAACAAAACCAAAACAAAATCCACATTACTTTGTTTGATGCAGCCTGCTGACGATATTCCACCAGTGCATTTGTGAGAGTCTGTGTAACTTTCAGGATAAATGAAGCATCATCTTCATTCAGTATCTCAAAACTTTGCTAGGGAAAAAAGAAACAAAACAACACACCATAAAACATTTTTCCTCAGAAAAACTGAAGTATCAAAATTTATAAACAAACCTGCAGGAACATCATTTTCTGTATGTCTCTACCCTTCTGTCAGACTTGGATGGAATTAAAAAGCAAATACAGTTTTTATTTTTAATCCCATAAACTGGGGGAAGGAAGGTAGAATGAAAGAGAAATCTAAGAGAAGGAAGATGCAGCTATGCAACACAATCATTTGAAAAGGAATAAAACAAAAATATGCCTGGAAATACATAGAAGATAATGCTTGTCCTTAAGTATTTTGATCTCTTGCCAAGATGCCTGCATAAAAATGAATGTGTACACCTTCCCTGAGGCAATATAGTCATAACCCATTTCTCTAGAATGTAGCAAAAAGCCAGAATGCGACTGAATTTAAATGTACATGCTGCCTTGCCTTAAATTAACCTTCTTTTTCTCTAAAAGTCTAAGGAAAAAGCAGTCTTGAAGCTGTGAAGCTCTACAAGGGAAGCAAGTTCTAGTACCAACAGCACTCACAGAGGGCTACATGTGTCATCCTCTTGTCTACACCAAGGAAGTTCTGCTGAAAACACTTTCTTGGGGACAAAGCAAAAAACTCCAGGTGTGTCCTAACAGTTCAAAGTCTTCTGGATTAGAAAGAAACACCTTTAAACACACCAGACAATGGAAAATAAGTAATAGAAACTTAGCATTAAGTTCATATGAGACAGCGTAACAGGGACTGTATTACATTTTTAACATTAATAGTACTTCTGTCTCCTGGTTTGCACAAGTTATACTTAATAAAGATCTTCTCAAAAGCTAGCTGGATAATGAAGAGTAAATTGTGGCAAGGATATCTTTGCTATGAGGTGACAAAAGAAATATAGTATGGCCAATTATTGGACAGCTTTTCAGAATACAAACAGCAAGTGCAAAAAAGATACCTGTAAAATAGCTTTTCACTACATAACAAACCTTTGAATCCAACAAGAGAAACACAATGCAGCTTTTGAAAAAATTACAGTAGATGCAAAAATAAATTATTTTCACACTTTCTAAAACAGAACAGTGTTCCAATCACATTCCCCACAGTCATCTTTTCTTCTCAGAGGACAATCATACTAAGAAAGAAGATGCCTCAAAACAAGTTCAAGTTTTATTGACAAGGTGTAATCTCTATACCTAGTAATTTCCAACAAAACAAGAGGACAAAACCATTTTATGATAGTCAATAGTGCCTAAATTACCATGCAGTAGATCAGTCAAGCAACTATCAGTAAAGATTTCCATAGAGTTTTTCAGTGCTTTTATGGAAATCACCATTTCTGTGTGCAAGATCACAACTGTTGTTGATACATCTAACAACTGGAAACTGACAGTTTTACACTGTCACTGATTGTATCACTACTGTGCATGTGTACCTAACACACATTTTCAGCAACTGAACAGAACTCCAGTGTACTGGCACTTATTTTAGAGAGGCACATTTTGCACTTAAGGCACTCTGGGCCAGGGTGCTGGGGGAGCCTGTTTTTAAATACACAACTTGCATTTTATTTCTTAAAAATCCCTTCTTTCCTTTCTACGTATCTCTGATATTTGTTTTCATTCTTTACATTGTTTTCATTTTGCTTCTTTCCATTACTGAACTGCATCTTTCCAAATACCTCATGTGAAAATTATAGACCAGTTATAAAAACAAAGGAGACATAAAGTTTAAAAGGGTCATATTACCTAAACGTGTAGTTTAGGAGTGAAGCTAAGATATAGTTGAAAAAATGAATTTTCAATGCAAGTAATTCCTCTGACAGTTAACCAATATTTTGGCAAAAGCAATGGCTAGAATCTTGAAAATTAATATACACATTATAAATTCAGTGACATTCATTTTATTCTGAATCCTGCCTTATGGCAAAATGGTAATCTGTTAGATTACAAGACTGCCTACATTCTGCCTTTCATTACTTGCTACATTTTAGACTTAGCAAACCAGTGATTTCATTTCTTAGTTTTTTAATTTTTCTTCCAAAAATTATCTTGCAAGGTAGGATTTAACACTCACCAAATAACCCAACAGTTCTTCTTGACTAGTGAATTCTTCAGGATCTGCTGTATATTCTTGCTGTTTAACATAAAAAGAAAGAGGTCCTTAGATCTATTATATGCAGTAAATATGAATAAATAAAAATAATTATGGTTGCTCTATAAATTCAAATTGTTTGTGCTGTTGTGAAATGTGTACATAGGTTTTCATAACAAAGTAGAAAAAATCCTTGTTGTTAATAGTTTTGCTTTAGCAACTTTGTAACTAATTTATTTGGAATAATATTGAGTAAGCAAACACCATTGCCAATTATATATTAATTATTTCCCCAACTATTTGGAGACTGGAGTAACCCATTAACAGAAAAATATTCACCTGAGCTTCCTTGTTTTCTTCTTCTGATTGTTTATTGGTCTCACACCTTAAAATAGAATAAATAAAACATTCAGTTGGCTGAACCAGCAAAAATGTGTAGCCAGGCAATAACTGCTAATCAGTTTAAATTCCTGACACACTACTACTACAGTAGTTCTGATAAACTCTGAAAGAAAGGTCACATATTTCCTCAGAGAAATCCCAGTCATCCCAGATCATCATAAAAATTATTCATGCGGTGTGGGTTTGTTTTAGTGTGATTATCTAGCACATAAGCTCTAAAACCCAGAGTTAATTAAAAAGCTTGACATTGGTGGTAATAGCTGTAAGATTTTTGTACACATTGCAGCAAGACAAGGCTCCTAATTACAGTTGGATTTTTATCAGCACTTCACAAACTAGCCCTTAAAAAATTCAGCTATTAAAAATCAGTGGTTTACAATGCAGTCACCAAATAAAGGGCATTAAAATATTCATATGGCAAAACATTCCTGTGCCATATTTGTGCTGTTCTGTCATTACTACTATAGATACATTCCATCCCTTTGCAAGCCCAGGAACCAGGGCTGAGAGTGGATGGATGTTTTCTAAATTAACCAAAACCATATGACTGCCAAGCCTAAGCCCTCTTCTGCCTTGAAATGTTTCTTAGGAATCAAAAGTTTAGTAAAAGCAGATGATGATAAAATAATATACATTTCAGATGACTGTTCAGAAACTTAACTACAAAGAAATGTAGAGTCATAGAAATTCTCAGACAGGCATCGCAGAATCTTTAAGTGGAAACAAGCTGTCAATGAGGATCTGATCTTAGTTCTTTTAAGACACTATATATTTGAGTTCATATCTTCTCAGTAGTCTCACATAAATAATTAAATAAATAGTAAAGGAAGAACTGAAGCCCTAATTTAGTAACTAACTTCCAAGTCAATCTCTCATTGAAACACCTGGCTGCTAATAGTCACCCAGAATCCATCTGAGCCAGATTAAAAGAGAAACATTAAGTGATAATTCCAAAGGAAGCTATTCTTAAAATTTAAAAGTACAAGACTGCACAATGAAGCTCAGTACCAGGCAGAAATAGACCTCACATTTCCAGATACGGATAGTTGAGCTTTTATCCATTTCCTGCTCTTCATGTTTTCATGAACTGGTTCTGATTCAGAACTGTTACTTATTTGAAAGCCAGTAAATAAACACAAAGATTGATAAACCTGGACTTGAATGTGGTTTCAACTGAACATTTTCCATAATGGTTGCTCCACAGAGAGGCAAGTCTGAAAAAATGTACTCCAGAAACATGAAAATTTCTCCTTTAACATAAACTAAAGCAGAAGCTGTTAGCCCTTCACATCTGGGAGAGATACTACTGGTTTAAAGTTAGAACACATTCCAAGGGAATGCCATTAAGAAAAAACCAAGTAACTAAATAATTGGAACAAAAGTCCTGTGTCTGGGTTGATGCCTGTATATCCCTTTCCAAGTGCCCTCCTGTGGCTCCTGGTGCTGCAAAAAGATGCCCAATGCTGGAGATGTCCTCCTCACACAAAGGCTGACAGTAACTCAACTCACAACTCTGTTACTAATAAAATGCTCACAAGCAGCAAGCACAGTTTCACCATTTTAGAACGCAGCTGCTCCTTTGAAACACTTATTGTTCCTCCTCAAAATCCTTTGTAAAGGAGAAACCCCAACTGTTTCAACTATTGCTGACTGTCTTTCCCTCCTAAAATCAGTTCACATACCACTTTAACTATCTGACATGAACCTGTGACAGAGGCAGCTTTAAACCCTGAGGAGACATACTTTTGGAACATTTTGAGCAGCACATGACAACTATACCTTAAGGATAATAGTTAAATACAAGAGCCAGCTGCATCCAGAGGAAAGTCCTTACATACAGAGGTCACTTTATATACACCAGGTTTTCTGTCGATTACAGAAGTTTACAGCTGAGCACAATTTCAGAAGTCATGGATTTTACTATGCAAATCCAATACAGACAATTGTCATGCACATTTTCCTTTAAGTTAATTTAAATGGGTTTGAAGGTGGTGATTTTTTTTTCTTTTACCATTCTGAGTCGTTGCCTTTGCTGCTTTCAATAGCATTATTAGGTTCAACTTTTTCATCTGGTTTTGCTTGTTCTTTCTGCCTTTCTTCATTCTCCTCCTGAACATTATTTTCATCTAAAACAATAAAAAGGTATATTAAGTGATGTTTTTCCAGTGTTTTAATTTTAAAAATATTCTAAACGAAGAATACTTCTAAAGACGACATCAATGAAATCTAAAGGTGGAAGTAAGGTATCTTATGAAGAAGTAAAATAAAAACTGAACCTAAAACATCAGTAGAAGTAGAATGTTTTCTTCACAAACACTGGGATTATTCCTTCCTTTGCCACAGACCCCAAGGCCATCCACACAACTGTGCAAATTCACCTTTATAACTCTGTGGAAGCCATGAACAGGCACATGTAGTAGTACATAATTCATGCACTGGTGAAAGTTAAAATAAAAAAAACAATAAAAGAAATAATTTTTCCTCTTACCTTGCTTAGGCTCTGTCAGTTTCCCATCTTTATTATCTGTTTTTTCTGCATCACTAAGGGGTGCATCCACATGCTGAACTTTAGCTTTTGAAGGGTTGTCCTCTGCACTGTGAGCTAAACAAACATGCTTGAGATGTAGCACAATGGACACTATCTTGATAGAGGGTGGTTCTACTACTGCACTTCAATTTCACCTAGCTCTGTTTCTAGGCAATAGTACTTACAAACACCAAGAATAAATTTTATAAGCATTATTTATTATGTGACACCATATTAAATATGAACTACAAGTCAGCAACAAAGTTTAAAGTATTTTATAGCCTGGTTATAATTACATGCTTGCATCTCCTAAAAATGTAAATACTATAAATGTAGTAGAATGCTACAAAGTCACATGCAAAATAAGACACACTAACCAACAGATAGATTACAGTCAAGAAATCTAATTTGAATAGGACTCAGCTTATTTCAGACCTTTCAGATCTTTTCTAGATTCAAAATGGCTATTTTTTCTCTTCAGAGTACATCACTGCTAATTTAGATGATCTCATTACTTCTACTGAGTTATTTTAAGGTACCACTTACATGCCAATATACATTAAAATTAAGTATATTAGTTTTAATTCAAATCTTTATTTTTCAGGTAATGCAAATCATAGCAAAGTTTAGCCATTTCCTCAAGTGGCATTCAGTGATACTGTCTGTCCACCTGGACAACACTGTACCTACAATGAGTTTTAAAACATTAACTGGGTGGGGAAATCTCAGAGATACCACATTCCTACACTTTTGTGAGTATCAATGGCTAGTAAAACAGAAACTTTTCTTTCAGAAATAAGAGCTATAGCTGTGCTTTAAGAATTCTGGATTCCCATACTGCAAATTAACTACTAGCACAGAGCCCCAGCCTGCTCCTTTTGTCCAGTTCACCAAAATGCTGGTGAGTATCTGGCACTGCAGAGACTACCCTGGTCTGATTTATATCAAAGGAGGACCAAATTAGAAATTGATCATGGGCACACTTACATTCTTGCCATTTCCTTCTCATTTTTGGAACACCTATAACAACCTAAAAATAAAACCCATTTATGTTAGTTATTTTGTGGATAAAATTATTTCATAGATATTTCATCAGCATTAATTTGTATTTTTCTAGGAATATATGACCAGTAGTGTAAAATATGCGTGTGTAAATCCCTCAATGGATATTCAAAAAGCCAATAGGTTAGTTGCCTGGACATTTATTTACCACAAATAAATTTCTTCTAGAGCTTAGAAAAAAAAAAGAAAATTAAACAGCTGGTTTCAGAAGATATAGCAGTAAAATTAAACCAGGTTACACACACTTTGTTTAAAAGTTCCTTACATCGAGAATGGATTGCTATGGAGATCATAAACTACCTAGAAAAAGAAAAAGGTCTAAAAAATATAGATGGAAGTAAATATTTCCATATCGATGAACATAAATCTCAAGTAAAATAAACAACCTCAAGTCAAGAAGAAATTCAAGTAAGCCAAATGAAAATGTTGCTATCAACAGTCAGTTGCTTTTCTTTTTAAGCAGAGGTTAAAAATGAAGGACAGACAGAATGGATTTGGTAATCTGAAATCTCTCCCTTCTACAGCATTCACTCTTGACTTGATCTTCCAATATACCCACACTTTTTTTTTATCAGAAAAGGGTAGGATCAGAGCAGGCTCTAATCCTTGAACCTAAGTGTGATAGTATCACACAGAATGGGCAGGAAACTGTCAGCTTTAACACAGGAACCTTGGGAGCTCCACTTTGGAAGGAGACATCCTTCCAAACGCACATTAGCTAGGGATCCTGTCAAGAAACACTGCTTAACAAGCAGGGTGCTGACAGAAATTGAAGCTGATGGACAAAACAAATTTAACATGTACCACAAAGAACTTTGAGCACCTCAATAACTTGTCATGAACCAGCTGGTGGTAAGGTGAACCTCAAGAAGAAACTTCACCAATATCCTGTCCACATAAAGGTATTATAAATTATAAATAAATAAATTATAAATAAATTTATAAATAAATTATAAAATAAATACTACTGCAGGGTAAGTATCAACAGAGAGCAATATGAAGATATCACCACATGAATATGTTTCTAAGGGTGCAGCTCCCTAAGAATTTAAGTTTATGGCACTTCTGTGATGCCACAGCACTGCTGATTATCTCATGTCAACCTGAAAATTCCCACAGTTCCATCTGTACTATGAGAAATTTTACCTGGCTTCCCTGAGAATTGCCTCAAGCTGCTTACAAAGCAGAAACTACTCAGAAAAGTTATAAAGGCAGTTTCCTAGCAACAAAAAACCAACTTATTTTACACACACACACAGAGCTGAGAATTGTTTAAATATTAGAATATATATTTTGCATTATTTGTGCACTCAGAGAAATTTTGTCCAGAATAATCCCAGAAGAATTACTAAAATGACAAAAAGCACCTGTAAAAAAGGTTTAAAAAGCAAGATTTTCCCACCTTACAAAGCAAATCTGCCCACCATAATGGAAATTACATTTTTTTCCTTTATTAAATATAAAGCTTCTGGAATTCTTAAGAGAAATGTACCTGTATTTGTTTTCTTCCTTCTTTCTTCTCAATTGTTAATCCAATTTGCCTAACTCTTTTGTTTAGTTCAGAGCCTTTACCCTTGACTTCATCAGATTGTGCTATCTCTGGATAATGTTGTCTCTAGAAAATAAATGCAAGTCCTTAAGTCACACAACTCCTTCCAGATCTAGCACAGTTAAAAATCATGGGAGATAAATCAACTTCTACATATACATAGCAGAACTTATTAAAATAGTTATGCACAGAATAATTTAGGGAATTAAAGCCAAATCTTCAGCCCAAAACAGGGTTGACACTGAATGCTGAACTGGTCGCATCAGGCTTTGCCTGCTTAGGTCTAAAAACCTCTAGAGAGAGAGATTTCCCCCTTTCTCTGGACAACCTGCTCCAATGCTCGACTGCCCTCACAGCAAAAAACTTCTTTATGTCATGTAGGAAAATCCCCTGCTTGAATTTATGTTCCTGCCAAGAAGCTCCAAAAAGGGTCTAGTTCTGCCTTCTTAATAACCTCCTCTGAAGTACTGGAGGGTTACTGTTAGATCCCTCTGACACTTTTTCTTCTCCAGCCAGAAAAAACCCAATTACCTCAACTTCTCTTCATAGTACAAGTGTGCTTCTGCCCCTGACGATCTTGGCAGTTCTCCACTGCACTAGCTCAATTTCATAAATAGCCTCCTTTCTGCAGTGGCACAAAACTGAACACAATACCCTGGATATGGTCTAGCAAGGATCAAGAACAGGGGAATAATCACTTCCTTTGATCTACTGGCTGTACCCTTGTTAGTAGAGCTCAGCTAGCTCTAGCTTGCTGCTAGCCTTCACTGACACCAAGCTACACTACCTATCTTGAGCTTGTTATCCACCAGGACCCTCAGGCTCCTTTTTCAGCAGAGCAAATTCCAGTCTTTTAGTCTCCTGTCTTTTTTGCTACCTAGGGTAATCCAGCTCAGGTGCACAACTTAAAAGTTATCCTTCATGACTTATTATATTTTTATAGTATTTAAGAATTTAGCAGAGATGCAGTTAACAAATGTAAGATTCAGAATTGCAGGAAACAGTTCCAAGTAAGCATGAAATGCAATAGCTGAGAATATCAAAACCCTGCATGTACATCTGAATGAATGACCAGAAACAGCATGGTGTTTATGAAAGACATCACTGCAGATTCATAGCAGCACACCCAACATTAGGCCTGAAGCTACCCCAAAATACTATGTGAACTCAGCTGTCTATGACTTTAAGATGTGTTCAACATAATAACAATTCTGAGAGACTTTAATGGGGAGTATCAAAATACTTTTCAGAATATTGCTTTCTCAGTTTTGTTAAAGCCCATCCTAAGCCAATATACTCAAGTAAACATTCAGAGACTGGAAAGCCTCATTTCTCTAAACATATTGAAAATGATAACATGTTTGAATGTTTGTGAGCTGACATGAACCTCAAGAGCTTTGTCATAAAACAAGCAACAGGACATGTCTTGTCCAGCCTCAAAACAGAAGAGGAGTTGGGTTTTCCCCCCACTGATTCCAAGTCACTCTATCTAATAATCTAATATGTATCACATTGTCTAATATGCATTATGTTCATTTATAAATACATTCCTTCCAAAGCATCTGAAAGATTGAATAGTTTCTTCTTTGATAATGTTCTCTTACATAATACAAAAATCAGTCAAACATCTATTTCTAGTCCATTTTAGCTACAGATTTCATTATTGATTGGCCAAAACAGAATAAACTACACTCAGTATCAAGCAATGGACAGACATACACATTACTGAAGAGAAGAATTTTAAGTCTATTGATCACAGCTGCCCAATTGCAATACCAAGATTTTCACAGAAGCTTATGGAAAACCTTAAATTTTATTTTTTTAAAAATCAAAATTTGACTAACTAATTCTCCCCTTTAATCATTACATTAAATCAAACAAACAAAAGAACTTACCAAGTATGCCAGTCTGTGCTTGGAACCACAGACATGCATGAACATGTTACTCAGTCCTGTTTTACAGTAACATAGTTGACATTCATAGAGAAAAGGAACATTGTCCTTTGTTCGGTATTCTATTATGTAATTAAGTCCTGTATTGAAAAAAAAACCAAACAACTTAGGAAATTTTATGTTTGCTGGAACAAATCATCAGTGCTTGTTGCAAAAGAAGTAATCTTAAAGCTCTGACATATAAGGAAAAGATTATTTTGATTACATTGAGATTACATTGACTGCATGTCAAATACATCAACGAAGATTTTCAGAACCATCAGATATTTTATCTTTTGGGTGTCTAGACTTTTTGAATACCAAAGTTATAAAACTGATGTTTTTAGGATGTCTTATGCTTACCACATAGTACTCAACTTTTTTTTTTTAAATCCTAAAAAATAATAGCAACAATTATTTTTTAACTAATTAGAAGAGAATGTATTTTAATATATGTCCCTAGTTGTTTTTTCTGTCAACTCCTATCTCCCCTCCACTGGATGGGTAGTTAAATTGCAAAGAGCCACACTGGTCTCTTAAGTTCAAGTTCATTTTTTTCATATCACTTCAGATTGTGTCTAGAGAATGTTGTCAACATGAGGTATCTAATCAAATATGTTCCAGGCCAAATCCAATGATTCTGTCACTGCAATTTGTCACTTCCATACCATACTATTGGGTACTCAGTACAACCATAAGAAGATTTTGTAACACATTACCTAATTTTACATTTTAAAAAACTGATCTGTACTCTTTAAGGTAAATACCACAAAACCAAATAATTACAGTATTAAAAGCCCTCACCAAGTGCAGGTTCTGATTCTTTACATGTATTAAGCTGGTCTTCCAGTGTCTGTCCATGAAACTTCTCTGGCTCAAGTGGCGCTGTAAGAAATTCACATACAAGTGAATCCCTGCTCCACATGGCCCCACATCACAAATTAAGTCAGTTATTATGAAACATTATTTCCCTCAATCTCATTTCTACTATTTCTAAAGCATTTGAATTGCAAAAATTAAGTATTATTACAAAATATTACTGCAGATTGAAAGTACAATGATCAGAAATGAATTCCCAATGACCTGCTAAGATCTAGGCATCGCTTGTAATGTTGTACCTCAAAATTTTTTATTTCTTCCACTTTTTTTTTTCAGGGAGGTGTGGGGAGAGGCATTAAACATTCTTACCAAAATCAGAAAGTTTCACAGGTGTTTTCACTTTCTTCCCTAAGCAACTTTCTGTTTTAACTAAAAAAAAAAAAAAAAAAAAAAAGAAAACAAAAGTAAGAATCTGAAAGAAGTGGAAATAAAATTGTTAGTACAATTGAAAGGACAATTTGGTAAATAACTGACTACTTTAGAAAAAACTCTTTGAGCTTTTGCTGATAAGAGAAAACTAAACTATGTTTAGTTTTGAATGTGCTAAGAGATTTTTTTCACAGATTCACAGACGATTTTGAGTTGGAAGGGACCCACAAGGATCACTGAGTCGTGTACAAGTCCCTGCTTGGGGAGTTGGTCCCCGTGTACATGGTCCCACATCACAAATTAAGTCCCCATGTACATGGTCCCATATCACAAATTAAGTCAGTTATCATGAAACATTGTCCCTCCAATCTTATTTCCGCTCTTTTTAAAGCATTTGTATTGCAAAAATTAAGTATTATTACAAAATATTACTGCAGACTGAAAGTACAATGAACAGAAGTTAATTCCCAATGACCTCATAAGATCTGGACATCACCTGTAATATTGTACCTCAACATTTTTTATTTCTTCCACTTCTTTTTTTTTGGGGGAGGAGGGGGGAAGGGAGGTCTGGGGGAAGATGTTAAACATTCTTACCAAAATCAGGAAGTTTCACAGTTGTTTTCAATTTCTTTCCTAAGGAACCTTCTGTTTTAACTAAAATTAAAAAAAAAAACAACACAAAGAAGAAAACAAAAGAAACCCACAGAAGTGGAAATAAAATTGTTAGTATAAAAAATAATTTGGTAAAATAACTGACTGACTACTTGAAAAAAACTCTGAGCTTCTGTTGACATGAGAAAACAGCTATGTTTAAGTTAAGTTTTGAATGTGCTAAGAGATTTTTTTCACAGATTCACAGACTGTTCTGAGTTGGAAGGGATCCACAAGGATCACTGAGTCCTGTTCAAGGAATGAACCCTTGACCCTGGTGTCATTAGCACCATGCTCCAAAAGATGGACAAAAAACATTCACACTAAACAACAACAAAGTTATTTCATGTCAGGCAATTCAATGAAGCAGGCAGAGAGGAAGATCAATCAAGTTCAATGTCTCTAAACATTTGAGGGCATCCAGGAATTTCAGGATATTTATTTCAGCAAGCATACAGCTGCTAAATATTTAATCACTTAAATTTCCAGTCCAAACAAAAATTCTCAGATCAGGTAGGTCCAATGACTACGTCTGACTTGAACAACAACTTTCAAACAGAATTCTAGGAGCAGTGAACTGTAGAAACCTGAAAAAAACATTTTGGTGCACCATGAAAACAAGTTAGGAGAGCAATTGCAAATGTAGTTAGATCTTCACTCCTTCTGGAACTAGACCAGTTCATCAAGACCCAGAGGAGGTTTAACGATTTATTAAACTTACTAAAAGTATTAAAAATATCTTCATTAGCTGAAGCAAATTAAACCCTTTTAAAAACAAATGTAAAGTATAAACAGTATTTCTACATACTTTAAGAAGCATAGGCTTTTAAATTATATTTTGACTTTTGAAGGTCTCTAATGTCTTGAATTCTTTAGGGTTTCTCAAAAATTTAACGTAGGTGATTTTTAGTCTTCTAGCCAGCGCTTGTTAATCAACTTTGCATACCTCTTGCTCACATTACTGATTGATTAGGTAGTTATATCATAAAAAAAACACAGGATAGGTCTTAAAGCACAAGTCTTGAGAAAGTCTTCTCATTTGTTTCATAAACAACTACATTGGGGTAGGGAGAAAAATGTGGGTACAGGACACAGCAGGAAGCAAAAAAATCTTGCACTTACTCATGCCATGAGTTTTCAGTGCTTCTTCAACCTAAATTACCAAGTTATCAACAAAAAAAAAAAAAAAAGAAAGGCACTTAAGAAGTCAAAAAACAACAATGCAAAGTTTTCATTATATATAAGCTCAATTAATACCAACAGCATAAACTATCTCAGGTGAACATGAAAATTAAAAAAGAAAAACATCCCTTTTCATTCTGGAGATTGTCTATGATTTAAGCAATTCCATTTTCCCTTTATCAACAGCCATGTATTCTCATGTATTGTCTTTTCTAGACGTAAAGTTGTAACATCTTCTGACAGGGCTAACGTACAAAACCACGTTCTACTTTATCATTGTAGACAAGACAGTAAGTTAGCAAAACTAGTTAAATATCTGAAATTGTATGTTTCACCACCACAATAAAAACTAGATTTCAAACCCCATAATCTATTGTTAAATAAATTGATAAAATCTGACAAAAAGTGCATTCAAAAGCTCATCTTACCGTCCTGTGTTTTGCTCCAAGGAAATGAGTCTGCAGGTTTAATGCAGAAGAACACCAGATTTTGCAAATCTAGATTAAAGAGAAGTATTTCTAGCATTGCACACAGACCAAGACAAATAAAATACCACTGATATCAAAACAGATCTACTATCAAATTGTTGGTATAGCTTAAGTTCTACAAAAGTACTACTGCTTCAAAGACAAACTAGAGCAGCCTCCTGAAACTGAGTTTTTTAAGGCTCCAAGACCACTAAAAGACAGTGAAACAAACCAGAGTCTCCACACCATGTAAGAATTTCAGATGCTCCAGAACTCTGCCGCTATCTCATAACACTTTCTGGGTGGGCATGTGTGGATAAGTGAAGGCAGATCCAAGACCTTCCTCACACACTCTAGAAGATGGGTGAGCCACAGGCACGGCATAATTGTGACAAGCCATGGCACCTGCCTGGGGTGAGCCTGTTCCCCTCAGTGCTGCATCCACACTTACTCTGATCAGCTCAGGGCCTGCCTCGCTCCCTTTGGAAAACTTCCCTATCACAGCTGCCTTATGCCTGGGCCAGTTCACAATGGGAGCAGATTAAGTTTAAATTCACATGAATAAACAGCAGCAGCCCAAATATTTTCTTCTCCTCTAAAAATCCCAGTGTGCTTTAAAGAAATAGCAATAAAGCTGACAACTAGGAGAAATCAGGATTTTTTGTTCTGAACAGGATCTACACTTAATCACCCACTAAAATGAATGCCTTTATTTAGAAAGATAATATTATTCACTTTAATAAGCAATTCTTAACACACAGCCAAGCCAAACATGACAAAGTCTCCAAAAAAAGTTCAGGTCCAGTGCTATTTACCAAGCTTGCTCAAGAGAAAAAAAAGCACATTCACACTTGGTTTAAGTACAACTTTTTAAGTGAATACTTACATTGCAGTAAAAGGGGTTTATTTGCTTCTTTATTTCACTTTCAGGGTCCATATTCAGTCTTTAGATGATAAAAAACTCTAGGAAAATTGCAGAAAGATTGCAAACTGTTGTTTGAGCTTCACAAAATTATTTACATTTTTGATCCGTCTATTATGAGGGTTGGGCACATTCCAGCTTTATTATGAGTCTCGCTTTGAGTTGTATTCAATCTTTAAATTCCCAGGCTAATGATCCTATTTTCAACTCGAGAGCAAAACTACAGCATGGAAAGAAACAATTGTTCTCCGCGAGCTTCCCTCGGGAAACGTCAACGTCACCAGAAGATTACGCAGAACAAAAACTAACGAAACAAAAACTAATCCGGAGCATTCCAAGCTCCCCCCTTCTTTCCTGGGATAGGACTGCGCGCACGGGCTGGGACAGATGACAGACAGACAGACACCGGGAACTGCCAGCTCGCAGTGCCGGGGGTGTGCCTGAGGAACAGGAGGCACAGGCGGGGTTCGGCAAGAACGACACGCTTCCACCCGGACCGCGGCGGCCAAGGAAAGAGGGAGGAAGAAGAGAGGGAGGGAATGGAGCGAAGGAAGGGAAGCAGGAAGGCCCCGAAGCTCCAAACCCCACGCCAGGAGCGGCGCAGGCGGCAGAGCGCCCTTCCTGGCACTTCCAGCCCGCCGGGGCGGACACAGGCGCTGCTCCCGCCGGAGCCGGCAGACCGCCGGGCCGCCTCTGCCCACAACTCACCGGCGGGCCGGGCAGCGTCCGGAGCCCGGAGGAGCTGAGGGCGCTCCCTGGTGCCGCGCCGGCACCTGGGCACCGACCCGCTCGCGGGCGGGAGGTGCGCCACGCCGGGCGCAGTGAGGCACGGAGGGGTGCCAGGAACCCCGCCGGGCCGGACACGGCACTGAGCGGTGCCGGCGGGCGGGGATGGGAACGGGATCGGGAACGGGAGCAGAGCGGCCGCGGCAGCTCCCGGCCCTTCCCGCGGCCGCCGCTGGGGGCGCTGGCGCGCAGGCGCGTGGGCCGCCGGGCGCTGTCGGAGGTAAAGCCCGAGCTGGGTCCGCGGCCGCCGCACCGGGGCGGGGATTGGGGAATCCCCGCTTCGCTCCGGGGCCCCGGGATCGGGATGCGGATGGGCACGCCGCGCCAGGGACGTGCGTTCCGGGACCTCCGCCCGTGCCCGGTGCAGGCGGGACTGCCCACCCCCTTCCTGGCGGCCGCCCGGTGTTCGCACGCCGCTCCGCACAACACACACATAAACGCGCATTTCCCCGCGGCCACCTCCCCACAGCTCCGCCGCACCTGCGGGCGGGGATCGCCCGGGCCGGGTGTCCCCGCGGCACACGGCGGTGTCCCCGCGGCACAGCAGTGTCCCCTGCGGGAGAGGCCGGCGCCGCGGCGGGCGGGAATCCAGCGCGGGGTTTGCGGGGAGCTGGAGGGAGCGGTGTCGGCGGCCTGCGGGCGGGGAGCTGAGGGAGGCGGGGAAGCAGGGAGGGAGGGAGGCAGGCGAGAGGCGCTTTGTTACGAGGAGCCGGCGGGGCCGCAGGGTGGGGTTGTCCCCGCCGCCGGCGCTGGTCCCCGCGGGCGCTGGGTGACAGCGGCCGAGCCCCCCCCACCGCCGCGGCTGATGCGCCCGCACCGCGCCGCAGCCCCCGCGCCCGCCCGGCGGGGAGCGGCCGCCTTTGTGCAGCCGGGACCTGCTCTCCGTTCTCCTTCAGGCAGAAGAGGAGCTAGCGAGGAGATTAGAAAAAGCCCACCAAGCTCGAGTTAATGTTTGAGAAGTTCGGGTGCGGGAGAGTCTGGTAGGATTCCTCTATTATGCCTATTTTTGGTGAATTTCAGGCAGTCGTTCGCAATAACAACCTGCGTCCATTACCTTGCTTGCGGGAAGTGCTTTGGATGTCCTCCATAGGTAGCGGGATGACCCGCTTAAAATCTGTGTGTATCTATAGTGTAATATGGTCCAGGTACATATATATTTTAATACATTTCTGTGTATAACTGTATAAAATCTGATAGGAGAAATTTGGGTAAAGTAGTGTGAATTTTACTAATAGATGATCTTGTTTGTTTGCTGGATGATCCATGATAACTATTCATTTGTATTAAAACGTAGGGGGCAAGCACCCAAGGAGGTGGGATTTTTAAAAATCTGATTAAAACACATTTTCTGTATAGATCTCATTCATATTTGCAATGTGCTCTTAATTACCTCCTGATTTCAAGTCTCAAGGTAGGCAGGGTCAGGCCTGGAACACTGATGGAAGCTTGGTGAGGAAAACCAAGGAAACATTTGAGGAAGCAGAACACTGTTTACTGCTGCTTCTGTCATTCAAACGAAATATAAACCTGTTGTGACTAGTTTGGGTCATTGCATTTCTGTGCCTTTCTTTCATCCTCAAGCACTGGGTGAAAAGGACAGAATTATGTTTAATTTCCAGTGTTGTTAATTACTAGCTATGTTTAGAGCTTCACCTGCAATTTAAGTTAGAGACATAAATTTTATTTTTATCAATCTTTGAATATTTCTGGTAGTAATTCTGTTGGGCACTGGTCAGTGCACTTCATTTTCACCCCATAAGTGATCACAGTTTGCTAACAAACACTTTTCTTTGGGTTTGGTTAGTGTAATCTTTTTAATATTTGGGATAAGTCTTCCACCATAACTTTCTCTCTGCATTTTCTTGTGCCTAAAAAAACATTTCATGGACTAAAAATGCTCACACATCACAACTTAAACTGATTTTTTTTCCTTTTACTGTGCTGCTTTGCAACTGATTGGAGCTTGGCTGTCTGTTTACATGTGTGCAAGCAAAATAACACATGTGTGTGACATATTTATGAACAGATGTGCTTTTCCTAACTTCTGTAATTTTTTTTCAAGCTATTCTTTGAGCAGATCACATCACGTGCCTTATAGCCTTTAAAAGAAGAATGCTGCACAACATTTCACAGTAAAGATGAGGAGCTGAGAGATACTTCTGTTATCTTAAAGTGATAGAGGTTTGTGTGAGAGGACAAATGCTTAGGACACTGCTTTAAGGCAAGTTGTGAATTGAGCCATGCCAGGAGAAGGTATTTAGGATAAAGGGCTTTCTTGCTGCATGTGTCTTGGAGCCTAGGCACCTGTAAGAGTGGGAGAAGCTTTCCAGTCTTTGTTTCTTAGAATTTACTCTGCAGCTGTCCTCATGTGCCCACACAAATCAATCCAGTTTACGAGATGAGCTATGCACAATAAACTACTTTGATTTCAGCACAGATTCCTGCTAAAATATATCCTAGGCATATGTCCTGGAAGGACTGTTTAGCCTCAAAATGGAAATTCTGTGGGCTTGTGAGTCCTTTCTCATATTCTGCAGAGGAGCCAGTGGGCTGCAAGAAGGTGAATAATATGCATAAAGAAAAAAGAGGTGAATATAAATACATGGTGGTGTTCTGACACAACTTCGTGCTATTCTAACTTGTCCTGACATCTCAGAGAGCTTTCTTGTTCACCTCATTGCAAATGGGCTTTAATACATTGAAGAAAGTAGGTTAAGCATGTAAGATCTTGAGAAGAGTCTTCCAAAACTCTTTTCTTATATGTATTAGACTGCCCACACCAGTTTTTGACTTCCTTTATACATCCTAGATCATAATCCCGGCTTCTTCACAGAAAGGACACAAGTGCTGTGTGTATGTTTAGGAAACAAATACTGGGAATGTGATTAGTGGAAGAAAAGATGAATACATTCTTCTCAGAGTAGGACTTATCTTTCCATTCTTTAATGTTTAGTATTTGAACTTACAACTGGGGATCTCAAGCTACAACAGTAAAAATAATAGAAGTAAATGATAGTGTGGTATGAAAATGATACTTAAATTTGCTCCATCTGTGAAAGATGAGCTTTTATTCTGGTACATAATGTGTTAATATATCAGAAGTCATATTTATAAATGTTTTAGATATTTCCTGACATCAGCTGATTGCGGATTTACTGACTCAGCTGATGGCCAGTCTGTGGAGCTAGATATTTAGCACCTGGAATCCTAGTAATGTTGTTTAACTTTTTGAATGTACTCTCCAAAGTTCTGAAAATCCTGTTTTTCTAAATAAAGGGATTTTCTAAACATAAACATGTAATGGTTTTTTTCATCTGAGGTTCTCTCATCTTTTCAAAACTAGAAGTAAGATTTCCATGTATCAGCAGAAGGTAGAATCAGTCCTTTCTGATCACATGTAGTGATCCTGGCTTTTCAGGGTCATAAGGTATTGGGCCTCACAATGTGCTGGTGGGACTGCATTTCATCCCATTCCTTGGTGGAATTGAGGTTAAGATACAGAACCAATATTTAGTCCTAAGAATTTCATTTCAGCATCTGTCCAAAGCAACTGAATGGTTTGGAATGGTGCAAAAAGTATGGAAGTAAAATGGATTAGTAGATACACTCTATTGAATTCTAGGTCTCTTTTATTTTATGTGTTTTCAGAGTGATTTCATGGAGTGAAATTGTCAGTTTTCAGTATCTTTGCTAGGATGTCAATTTCCTGATTATTTTTTTTTTCTCCTAATTTGTGTTTTATTTAAGGAATTCCTGAAGCAGCTGTACACCTCTATTAGACCTAGACATTGTAATGACTGGTATGCAATGAAAGACGTTTCTTTACTTACACCTAGTTTGTTCTTTGGGTTTATGACTGTTTAAGAATTCCTGTCACCAGCATGGGGGGTCACTTAAGTTTTCACAGACCATGAAAAATAACTTGACACAGCGTGACAGAGGAAATACTGGATCAAGAAACTGTCTTCCTTAAACTCAACCACCCAACTCTCTTCCTTCTTCCTCCTTTTGCTTTCATGCAAAGTAAACTAGCTCTTCTATGAGCAGTAGCACTACTGCATTTTGTTTTCCTATGGATCTTTCCCTTAGTCCCCTAGATGCTGTCTGTTGCAAAAACTTCAGCTCTCCCATGTCCTTGTGCAACCAGGATTTGGTAAGAGAGAGCAGAACTGTGACTATGCAGGACCCACATAAGTGCCCAGAAATAATCCAGACAAGCACTGACAGAAGGTGCAAACCAAGTGTTTGCTCCTTTTTCAGTAGGGATACAACTTAGCTACTGACTTGACCTAGACTGTTACTTACTTCTGTTCACTTTGCTTCAGTTTTGCTATTCCAGGCTTTTTTCCACTGTGTCCCCTGTTCTTTGACTCCTTTGTTTTGCTGGCATCATGGTTTAACCCCAGCCAGCAACCAAGTACTGTGCAGCTGCTTGCTCACCCCTTGCCCCCAGTGGGGTGGGGAAGAGAATCAGAAAAAAAAAAAAGTAAAACTTGTGGGTTGAGATAAGAACAGCTTAATAATTGAAACAACATAAAATATAGTAACAATAATAATACTTGTAGTAGAGAAGAGAGAGTGGGAGAGAGAGAAAGAGAGGAAGAAAACTCAAGAGAAACAAATGATGCACAATACAATTGCTCACCACCTGCAGGTCTCGGCCAACTCCCTCCTCATTTATACACTGAATGTGACATTTTTTGGTATGGAATATCCCTTTAGCCAGTTTGGATCAGCTGTCTTGGCTGTGCTCCTTCATAGCTTCTTGTGCACCTGCTCTCTGGCAGAACATGAGGAACTGAAAATTCTTGACTTGGAATAAGCACCACTGAGCATCAACTAAAACATCCAT